GTTCATAATATTGTAAAGTACTTAATGTATTTTGGAATTAAAAAATATATTTATGTAAAATTTTATGTATCGAGTTTTAGGTAATTGAAAGTTCTGAAATATAAATAACAGCATTAGAGAATTATGGAGTTAGAATTTTGTATCGTATAAAAATTTAAGTGAATTGAAAATGCATGTGATAGAGAATTTCCCCAGTGTTTAAAAAAATTTTCTTCAAAATATATACAGAATAGAATTTTAAGTTAGTGTAGACTTAGTTGGAATTAGTTGTTGTGTAGAATTTAATGATCTTTAAAAATTCTCATACAAGCGGTAGTACAGAATTTATTATTGGCGTCAAATCACATGTGGAGTGTTACCTTGTTACCTGAGTTTGATTATTATAACGACACATTTTACTACAGGTATACGTATATTTACAACTATATTATTTGATTATAGTGTATAGTATTGATATATTTTCTGCAACCTTGTTTTTATTATTGTTATTATTATTATTATTATTATTATTATTATTATTATTATTATTATTAGGTTTTCAAACGCATCACAAACTAAGGTCTTTAAGTACGCATCACAAGCTAAGGTTTTTAAACACATCACAAGCTAAGGTCTGTAAAGCCATCACAAGCTAAGGTTTTTAAACACGTATCACAAGCTAAGGTTTTTAAACACATCACAAGCTAAGGTCTGTAAAGCCATCACAAGCTAAGGTTTTTAAACACGTATCACAAGCTAAGGTTTTTAAACACATCACAAGTTAAGTTCTTTAAACATATCACAAGCTAAGGTCTTTAGACCCATCACAAGCTAAGGTTTTTAAACAGATCACAAGCTAAAGTTTTTAAAAACATCACAAGCTAAGGTCTTCAAACACATCACGAGCTAAGGTTTTTAAAGCACAGATCACGACGTCAGTTTCATCATACGACAACTATGGAAACGATAGACTTAAATGTTTCCATAAATTAATAGGTTTAACGTGAGTGTTTGTGAGTGAAGTTGCAGATAATATTTACAATTACTCATTATGTTTTGTATGTTTTTATGGCCGTTTTCTGGTACTTTAGCATGAGTATATTCCGTTATTATTTATTTATTCAACGCCTGTCTCATTATTTGGCTATTTATTTATTTATTTACGTCTTTTCATGTTGCATAAAACACAAATATACAGAAGTTAAATGAGGGAGAAAATTGTAATAATTTTAAAAATCTATCACGAACAAGATTTTTTTTTTAAGCAGTAAAACGTATCAATCTAACTTAACTAAACCTACGATCGTCAGGTTTGGTGAGGTATATCTGTATTTTTGTGCTTCATGTGGTAGGAAATATGTAAATAATGTGTATATAACTCTCAGAGGCAGACGAGAGTAACACTTCCCTGAATACATAAATTTCCCATAAACAAAACGCCTGGATATCATTGACCAGGGAGATGGAATATAAAACTAATATAAGAAATTTTTTTTACACATAAATCGTCGTATTTTTGGTCACTAGTTTTTGTCTTTTTAATCATTTATGTATCTTAATTCCTTCTTTCGTTTCTTGATACTAATTTTTTTAAAGTTATTCCCATATATGATTTAACACCTTAAACTGATGTTATGAAGACGTGTTATTAAAAATCCCTTGAAGTTGACATCTATATAAAATAATATATTGTTATTATCCCTCAACCCTCCCCCACCCCATCAGCCACCCCCCCTCACCCATCAGCCACCCCCTCCTCACCCACCCCCTCCCACCCTTTCTTAATCCAAAACCCTTTCATTGAGATGTTTTAAAAAGCTCATTTACTTCATCCATCATTACTGTCACCCGTCATCAGCCATCACTCGTCTGCATCCATCATCATCATCTACCACCATCTACTGTTATTCACTAATTCACTAATACCATTCATCATTTCCATCATCATCATTCACTACCATTATTCTCTACCATCTTTCACTCCCACCATCTACCATGACCTACCACCATCAACCACAACCCGAACCATTACTCACCACCACCATCAACCACAATCATTATCCATCCACCACCATCAACCACAATCATTATCCATCCACCACTATCAACCACAATCATTATCCATCCACCACTATCAACCACCACAGTAATACACTATCAATACTTCACCATCATTCGCCACAATATTAACCAAACCTCCTACAGTCACCATACCACACCACCACAACCATACCCTCTACCACACCACCACCAACCACATCACCATACCAGCTACACCACACTACACCCCCTTACCACCACCAACCACATCACTATACCAGCCACATTATACCCACACCACACACACACTACCATACCACACCACCACACCAGCATATCATACCAACGGCATCACCATATCAACCACACTACCACACCCTCTACACCACCACCACCACCATCCTCCACGCACCACAACGTCCATCTCACCATCCACCGCACTATCACCCCTGACCTCTATTCCATTCACCTGTCCGGTCATCTTCACCATACATCATCATATATCATTATACATCACCATACACCATTATACATCACCATACACCATTATACATCACCATACACCATTATACATCACCATACACCATTATACATCGCCATACACCATTATACATCACCATACACCATTATACATCACCATACACCATTATACATCACCATACACCATTATACATCACCATACATCATTACACATCACCATACCTCTAAACTCCCTGCCAACTATTGAATTATTAACTCATAAGAATGCATAACCGTCTCCTTGCTGTATGTGCATTAGGTTAAACAAATATATTTTCCTTCCTTCCTTTTGTTATGCGAGATAATATTTCCCATCAAGCCCTTTGCTGTAGTCATCGTTGTACATTATGGGATTTTGTTCGCTTCCTTTTGGACTAAGACCTGTGTGTGATAATGTTATACCGGTATACTCTTGGTGTCTTTGTGAGTATGACGTTGGTACTTGACACTCTATTTCTTCCTGACAGCTTGGGTTAATGTTTGTCCTATATCAACTGGGTACATATGCTGGGGATTTATTTATTTAACTGTATATTAAGTGTTATATTCTGCATTTTGTTTCCCTGTATATTAAATAAATGCATTAAAGACTCAAGTTGGAATCGTGTTTAAAAAATATCGTCTTAATTTTATTGTTATCGTTTCTATATAAATTAAAAGAAAATTTTATTCATATAAATCATTAATTCTCTTCGTAAGTCTGTGTGTAAATATTTTTTTTTTATTTGTTGTTGTTTTTTTCTTCGTGTTTTAATATATTTCTATTTTGGCTTTTTTATTTTCTTTTTTTTACACGTTTTACTTTTTTTTTTATAAATATCTAGTTTTTTGTAGTTTTATTTCCTGTCCTAATATCCTTCTCCTGTACTCTTATCATTCTTATGTCTACTGTTTTATCTCTCTCTCTCTCTCCTGTCATCTACTGTGTTGATTTTTTTTGTATCTTCTCATTTTAGTCTTTTTTTTCGGTTCCTTATCATTTGTGTCCATACCTCTTCCTTATTTTTTCCTTCATTCCTTCCTACTTGCCCCTCTTCCCATCCTCACCCACTCGCCTTCACTCCCTGCACTCTGAGACTCTCCCCTCCGCTCACTCTCATAAAAAGAAGGATAATGTACGTGAATGAGCAAAATTTTTTAGATTCGCTAGACAGACGACCACTGAGAAAGTCGCATGTTGTCTCAGTCACCGCCTGGTGTGCCTCCTGCCTCCCTCGAAACCGCATGTTGTGTGACAGTATAAACAACACTAAGAGAATGCCCCTCCCACCCCCTATGGCATGATCGTCCATCTCACCCCGTGTATGAGTGTGGGAGGCACCTTACTATACCGTGTGATGTAAAAAAAAAAAAATCCTCAAAAACCCATCTGCCCGTACCATAAAAACAGGGCCAATGCCGAAACCAAGCGAGCCAAAAATCGTCTGGTTTAGCTCCCATAAGCATGTCAATTGCGGGGTGGATGGTAATGCCAGGTGATGTTTATTGCTCGTACTGGCGATGTTTTTATGGTATGGAGAGATAGTGTTGGCGCAGCATGATGTGGCCCTCACGGTGTGCTGTTTTGTTTTGATAACGGCCGCCTGCCCTGGGTGTGTCGGTGGGCCGGGTGGTGGTGGCGGGCCGTGCTGCATGTTGTGTGCATGGTGAGTGTGAGCCAGCCGCTGCCCGCCACCTACCCACCTCCATAGCCGACATTGCTGAGGTTGTGTTCTTTGTTTCAGTGTGGAATATTGTGTTTAGTTAAGGTCATTATCACGGGTAAAATTGTCCATATACGCTTACAAGAAACACAGACACACGAACGTACACTTAAAGAATCAAACGAATTTGTTAAAGGACAAGTGAGTTTGAATTTAGAAAAACAAAAATATGTATATGTATTTGTGTGAGTTAGATAATTAATTACATAAATTGAATGTAGTCTTGAGTTAGTGTCATGGGGCAACACTACGGCTGGGAAGAGCACTGCTGTGGGTGCTCGCCACACTCACTGAGCAAGTCGCATGCTGTCTCAGTCACAGCGTTGAAAATTCAATCTAAAAATCTGATTAGAGATAACGTAAGGATAAACTAAACAACAATATTCCACACCATATATATATATATATATATATATATATATATATATATATATATATATATATATAATATATATATAATATATATATATAATATATATATATATATATATATATATATATATATATATATATATATATATATGTTTATAATTTTTAACACACATTCATCACTAAATGCAAGCAGTAAAACTTCAGAACAAACTATTAACTTCACTTAGACGTAAACATTGTATACCCTTAACACTTTATGAAACAGTGATGAATAAACTTAAACATCAAATACTTCATATACCAAGTGAACTATTGCAGTTTGAGATAAACTAATATAAGTATATGTTAACCAAGTTTACCCTCCAACTCCACCTTCGTTCTCTTTAGAGTGTGACCGGAAAATCGTGAGTAGCGAGAATGGTCAAGGGGAGGGAGAGTTCGAGGCGCCGGAATTACTTAACCCTGAAGGTCACAGCCGCCAGTGTATCTACACCTTCATGGCGGCCCCGGGGGAGAAGGTTGAGCTCCAGTTCAATAAGTTCAACTTGAGAGGCACGCCGCCTGAGTAAGTACTACCTCTTCTTGTCTTCACCTACCTGCCCCCCTCTTTTTATTTTGCTCTACTTTACCTCACTATGGATGAGCTGTTCTGCATCAGTGTAATGTGATTGTGGTTGATTTGTTAATTGCGTCATGTGTTTTGTGCTTCTTATAACGAAAGGTTAATTAATGATGGCCCAAATGTGAAAGTTAACTAGTAAATATTATAATTTTGAAGTAGACGTAGACTAATGAACTGACTTATGGTATAACTGATATATATATATATATATATATATATATATATATATATATATATATATATATATATATATATATATATATATATATATATATATATATATATATATATATATATATATATATATATATATATATATATATATATAATGACCAGGTCCTGAACATATTAATACGCCAGATCTTTTCTAAATATAAATTAAAGGAACAACAAAACAGTAGATATGTTAATATTGTTTTCTAATAATTTCCAAGTTACGCTAAAATAAGACATAAAGATTCATCAATTAGCCCCGTCACTCACTGATAACAAAAATAACTAACTTACAATCTTCACATATAAAATATTTTAAGATTTGCAATTTAGCTTGTCAGTGTGCACATAGATGGCGCGCTTGTGTGTGTGTCTTTCTCTACACACCCTCACACCTGAGCCAGTGTGACCCATAACACTGTTGCTGTAGCCTAGACCTACCACCCCTGTAGTGGCCTCAAGCTTGTCCAGGGAACTGCATGGTGTGTGTGTGTGTGTGTGTGTGTGTGTGTGTGTGTGTGTGTGTGTGTGTGTGTGTGTGTGTGTGTGTGTGTGTGTGTGTGTGAGGCAGGTGTGTGTGTGCGCGCGCCTGCAAAGATACCTAATTATATGTTCTTGTGATGTGGACGTATTGCATCCTCAATGGTGCACTGATGATTGCCCTAGTGTTAAGTCTCTCAAAAAAAAAAAAAAAAAAAAAAAATGATGGAGACTGAAAAATAAACTGTATGTGGTTAGGTGATTTTTTTCCCCATTAGTTCACTGTGTTATTAATGTGTCCCGTATTTTATCATTATGCTGTATTAATTTTCTTTTGATTTTGTTCATATATATTTTCTTTAAAACATAATCGATTAATGACAAAAACAAATGCTTAAATTACTCGCGAATGATATAAGTTTTAATTACTTTTATCTCCTCACCTTGATAATAATTAACAGCTATAAGAATGCACTCATTAGTTTTCCAGATAATGAACTAATTATACTAACATTGAGTCAGTATAGTGTGTGGCTGCAGGAGTGGTAGGGATGTGTCAGTGTAGTGTGTGGCTGCAGGAGTGGTAGGGATGTGTCAGTGTAGTGTGTGGGTGTAGGAGTGGTAGGGATGTGTTAGTGTAGTGTGTGGCTGTAGGAGTGGTAGGGATGTGTCAGTGTAGTGTGTGGCTGCAGGAGTGGTAGGGATGTGTCAGTGTAGTGTGTGGCTGTAGGAGTGGTAGGGATGTGTTAGTGTAGTGTGTGGCTGTAGGAGTGGTAGGGATGTGTCAGTGTAGTGTGTGGCTGCAGGAGTGGTAGGGATGTGTGTCAGTGTGGTGTGTGTGGCTGCAGGGGTGGTAGGGATGTGTGTCAGTGTAGTGTGTGGGTGTAGGAGTGGTAGGGATGTGTTAGTGTAGTGTGTGTGGCCAGGGGTGGTGGGGATGTGTCTCCTCACCTTGATAATAATTAACAGCTATAAGAATGCACTCATTAGTTTTCCAGATAATGAACTAATTATACTAACATTGAGTCAGTATAGTGTGTGGCTGCAGGAGTGGTAGGGATGTGTCAGTGTAGTGTGTGGCTGCAGGAGTGGTAGGGATGTGTCAGTGTAGTGTGTGGGTGTAGGAGTGGTAGGGATGTGTTAGTGTAGTGTGTGGCTGTAGGAGTGGTAGGGATGTGTCAGTGTAGTGTGTGGCTGCAGGAGTGGTAGGGATGTGTCAGTGTAGTGTGTGGCTGTAGGAGTGGTAGGGATGGGATGTGTCAGTGTAGTGTGTGGCTGTAGGAGTGGTGGGGATGTGTCAGTGTAGTGTGTGGCTGTAGGAGTGGCCGGGATGTGTCAGTGTAGTGTGTGGCTGCAGGAGTGGTAGGGATGTGTCAGTGTAGTGTGTGGGTGTAGGAGTGGTGGGGATGTGTCAGTGTAGTGTTCTTGGTGGAGATATTATTATTTTGTGTTAAATCAGTTAATACATGTGAGTGAAAGCCAGAGTGTAGTGTGTTGAGGGTGACCAGGTAAAGACGTCTTCTGCCTTCTTACCTGTCAAAATCTATCTACTTTAAGGTAATTCGTAGTTCTAGGTTAATTTACCTTGCAGGACTAAACCTATATTAATTACTCTTTTCAATTATTTAAGGTGATTACTGGGTATGTTAATTTACCTATGTTAATTATTTTATTTACCTGTTTGGTTATGTTAACTTGTATGTGTTTTGAGGTAGGTTAGTCAGTGTAAAGGTAATCTACTCCGGTATTAAACTGGGTCACTTAACATGGTATACCGGCAGGGAGTTCACACCAGTACAATATTGACCACTTTGTGTAGTATAATGAGATCAAGAACACCTGTTGATACATACCTGTGATGCTTCATACATTTTATATCTGTTACTTTATTGTTATATATTATTTTTGACCTATTTTTAATTTTATGAGATTTTTTGGTCATTTCTGGTATAAATTCAACTTAGATTTATATATATATACATTGTGTTTGTATTACTAGATGTTTATTTAGGGTTTATAAAGTTTGTTACCAACTCTTGTAGATTTTATTTATTATTGTTCTGATATATTAGTGTGTGTGTGTGTGTGTGTGTGTGTGTGTGTGTGTGTGTGTGTGTGTGTGTGTGTGTGCTCTTTCGGTACAGGCATACTTCGTTTATGACCGACAAACACAGTGTATTCAAAAGTAAATTAATTTGAGTTAGTTACAAATTTACAGTGTGTGTGTGTGTGTGTGTGTGTGTGTGTGTGTGTGTGTGTGTGAACAATACAAAGTGGTATAAATTTTGGTGTGTGAAATAGAAGTTTACACGTTGGTTAAACTTTACCTGAAAACAAAATCCCGATTATCGGTAAAATTAAAAAAAAATTAGGTGTTTTTTTTTAGGCCGTTTTATCTATTGTTTATCTATTTTCTATCAATTTATCTTAATGTGTAAGTTAGTCAGGTGTGACCCAAGTATATGTGACTATCATCATTCCAAGTCCAATCCGGAACTATAGAGGTCACTCAGGTGTTAATATATGTTATTTACTATAGAAAACGCAGCGTAGTATTCAAAGTCAATATAGTAGTATGTGTTGTTTCATATATAATTATATGGGTGTATTAAGTATCGTTAGATGTATTAAGAGATGCCAGAGTCAGGTGTGGAAATAATTAGCAGTCAGGTGTGTAGGGAGGTAACTAGGTATATTATAAGGTGTTAGGCAGATGTGAAGCGAGGTAGGATATTGCCAGGTATGTATAGGGAAATAGTATAGATAGAAACTTAAATCACATGTGTAGTGATGTATCATTAGAAAGCCAGTTATATATGAGGTAGAAAATAGTCAGTTATGAGGCAAGACGCTAGTGAGATGTGTTACAAGAGTTCAGGTGTGTAATAGGATTGTAATTAGTGAAGCAGAAGTCATGTGTGTTAGGATATGGCGGTAGGTATATATTGAAGAGGCAGTCACACGTGTCTTGACTCAATCGACGTAAGTGATGTAAGTCACATGTCATAACCAGGTGTGTAAATAATCTGATAATCATAGAGACAGGGAGATATGAGCTAGCCACATATGCCTTTATTCAAGTTGTCAGCTGTGCAGTGCAGGAGTGTCAGGTGTGTAGTCACAAATATATAGTCAGGTGTGTAGCTAGATATCCTAGTGTGTCATCAGGTATATAGCCAGGTGTATATCCAGGTGGGTTTTCTGAGGTATTGTCAGGTGTGTAATTGGGTGTTTTTTTATAGTCGTTTGTATAGCCAGGTGTGTAGTCTGGTTTATAGCCAGGTGTGTAGTCTGATATATAGTCAGGTGTATAGTCTGGTTTATAGCTAGGTGTGTAGTCTGATTTATAGTCAGGTGTGTAGTCTGGTTTATAGCCAGGTGTGTAGTCAGGTGTGTAGTCAGGTGTGTAAGCCGTACCACCAGCTTGACTCGCTTCGTCTTTGTCCCCATCTCAGCGGATCAACTCTCGGAATGAACCCGTCGTGAGTAGAGATCTACGTCAGCCCCTGTACTAACCTGCATTCTCTCTACATAACCTTACTTACTGATTAAAAGTGCATTTTAAAACCCCCAAACTAATTGGTTATCCTTCATTACATTTTTTTTTTTTATTTGCATATATATATACACATATAATTATTTGTATATAATCAAGCTCTGATAAACTGACCACATCCAGCCCTCTATCCGTTGTCTGAAACCGGTGATATACTGTATAAATTTGTACCTGTATATGCCATAGTTTGTCCACATTCCATATAATTTCGTATTTTTACATTATTTTTTTCGTTTTCTTCTTCGGCTTTACAGTGTAGACTGCATCAAGTTCATCGTGGCATTTTCTTTGTGTTTTTTTTTAGTTCTCTCTTTCTGTTCCTCTATTTCTGTATCTTCCTTATTCAAATATTTTTGGTGTATTTTATCTCACGTTTGACAGTATTTTATAACTAGATTTCTTACCCATAACTCCTAACTTATTATATTGAATTATCTTAAAGTATATTTTAATTCATGGTGACCTCTTCAGTTTTTATTACCACTCAATGATCTTAGTGACATAGTTCGTGTTTAATGTAGTGTTAATGACCTGACCTGACCTGACCTGACCTATCCGAGTGAACGTTTAGTACGGTATTGTTATTGAGTATTACGAGGTGTATAATATTACTGCCTTGTGCTTATTACTGCATTGTTGGAGTACATGAGTCACCCCCCCCCCCCACCTTCTCTCCCACTCCCCCCCTCCTTCTACCCCTACTCCACTCCCCTTCCACTTCCCCTCCTTTTACCCCTCCTACTACTCCACTCCCCTCCTTCTCCACCCCCTCCTCCCACACCCCCACCCTTGAAGCTGAGCCTTGGACAGTTGTAACATGTCTTGTAGTTTTGTCCAATGGTACCTGTCCTGTAGTATTCTCCAATGGTACCTGCTCTGTAGTTTTGTCCAATGGTACCTGCCCTGTAGTTTTGTTCAGTGGTTCCTTCTATGTAGTTTTGTCCAGTGGTACCTGCCCTGTAGTCTTGTCCATTGGTACTGCTGTAATTTTGTCCAATTATATCTATAGTTTTGTCAAATGGTATCTGCCCTGTACTTTTGTCTTGTATTACCTATGTAATTTTGTCCAATGGTACCTCTAATTTTTTCCAATGGTACCTCTGTATTTTTTGCAATGGTACCTGCCCTAGTATTTTTGTCCATTTACAGTGTGCCTTAGTGGTGCTCTTTTGCATACAATGGAACTCTTTCATCAGTTTATATGACTACTGCACCAATGTTGTATGCAGTGGTACTTAAAATATTATCTCACCTGTAAACATTGATTGTTCCTCACCTAAACATTGGTACTGTCCTTAACTTGTAAACATTGGTTCTGTCACTTACTTGTAAACATTGGTACTACTGTCCCTAATTTGTAAACATTGATATTCTCCCTAACTTGTAAACATTGGTATTGCCCCTAACCTGTAACATTGGTACTGTCCCTCACCTGTAGACATTGGTACTGTCCCTCACCTATAAACATTGGTACTTCCTTCACCTGTAGACATTGGTACTGTCCCTCACCTATAGACATTGGTACTGTCCCTCACCTATAGACATTGGTACTGTCCCTCACCTGTAGACACTGGTACTGTCCCTCACCTGTAGACATTGGTACTGTCCCTCACCTATAGACATTGGTACTGTCCCTCACCTGTAGACACTGGTACTGTTCCTCACCTGTAGGCATTGGATCTAACTGGAAACATTGGTACTGCCTCTTAGCTGTGTGTTGTTGGTATCCTCCAATACTTGCGTGTATTGGTATCGTAATTTCCTGTGTGCATCAGCGTCGCCATACACGTAGAAGCACCGCCGATTTACACGTTTTAGCTGTGTACGTTGTTTATGTCTGTCTATGTCTGTCTATTTTGTTTACCTCGCTATGTGCATGGCATTGTTTTTGTTTACTGCATCGTGTAATTAGCTTGCATTTTCGTCTTTACTGTTGCATGATATTGCTTGGTGGAAGTAGACTCGCTTTGTTAAACCAACTGGCCTCTAGAGCAAGCCAGTGAGCCATCGTGCATCCCACGGGTGAAAGGGTTGAAATAATTTTTAGGCAATAATGTTAAGATTTTATGGCTAGAAATAGTACAGTTTGGCTCGTCATTTTAGATATAAACAAGCATGTGTTATTTTTTTATTATATATCTAGTAATTTACTGCGATATACTTATATGTTAAATTTTGCATTCTGACTGAGATAGTGGTGGAACATCGTTGATAATGTGCAGGTCGAAACTTGTACAGTACATGTTAAATATTATATAAAAAATAACCTCCTCTTATTAGTAACTTTAATTTTTATGATTATCACCCGTAAAGGATAAATACATAGTTAAAGATTTTTCGATAAATACAATCACCATTAAAGAGGTAAATAGAGGATGCATATTCAGCTGTCACAAACAACTGGTGTCATTACCTCAAGGTTGTATTATCGTGATAAAGGATCATCATATCTCTAATTACACACCTTTAATGATTAGCCCCAGCCCATTTCACCTAATGATTAAACATCCTAACGCTAGCATAACCTAACATAACCTAACCTCACCTAATAACACTAACTTCACGTAACCTACTGCTAAACCTAACCCTCCGTGTAGCGTTAGGGTGGTTAATCATCAGGTGAAATAAATCAAGGAGGCTAATTTTCAGATGATCCAGTGATGAATAGACGTTTATTTCTATTTTTGGAATTGGTAAATATTTATTAAAAGGACACTTAAACTTCACATATACAACATTGATGACACTCGTGTCTTCTTCAGTTGCCGGTACAAGGTGGGCGGGCGGGGCAGAGGTTACAAGACCAATACCAATATATTTATATGGATGGACGCTCCCTAATACTGCAAGTGGGCACAGCGGAAACAGTCAAGGCCGCGCTAACATGGAGGGTGTGTTCCGAATTAGGACAAACGAGCATTAAGCCACGATAAAAGCTGCACCTTGGATTATAATTAATTAAATAGTATATCCCAAAATATTTAAATAGTAAGAAATTAAGTATAAAGTAATGATAATAATTATTATAGCACTGCTAAGGATAGAGGTGTTAGCCATGTGTTCGGATGGTGGCTGTTGCTTGGATAATTCTAAATAAACGATACTTATTAGTCAGTGTTACTTGTCACCGTAATAGTTTAGGTGGTTTATACAACATTTAATGGGTTAAGTAGACCTATAGTGTGACGCAAATACCACGATAGGTTTAGCCTCTGGGTTATCTTAGTGTGTGGTCAAGGGTAAAACTCCCACAAGTATGTACAGTTGTGACCAAAATTCTCTCGACACTTGGCACTGAGGGTCATAGATGTTGTTAGCTCATTGCCTGTGAACGCTGCTTGTTACTCTGAACTGTGAGACTAACAGGAAAAATATGACAAAATACACGTTGAAATCCCTATACCTCGTTACAGATATTGTCAAAAGTGTCAAGGGAATTTCAACCATAACTGTATCTAAGGATCAATGCTAATTATGCCCTCACACCTGAGGTCTCTAAACTTCATTGATTTAGTATAAATTTCCCGATCACTTAAAGACTAGACAACCGAGGTTATTTCTCTTGAAGCTTGACCATCCTATCCTAAACCCCAGGTAGCTTTGGGGTGGTTAATCTTCAGGTAAATTAAACTAGGGTATCTAATCTTCATGTGTTTCAAATTCCCTTCCTTTAATATGGGAATGATTGCGTTATGTTCCTTGTTATTAAACCTATTACCCACCAGAGTTAGTTTAGTTACTGGAAGCCTAGATAGAGTAAGACGATGCTGAAGAAAAAATACTCCCAAGCTAAAACGTTTTGGATTCCATGCATAGAATTACCTACACTTCCAGAATTTTCACATTAATTCTATTTTTTTGGTAGTTTTACGGAATTTGTATTTGTTCATTTATATTAAATTGGCCTATCGAAATATACCCTGTAATTGTGTTTATGAACTTACTCTTATGTTCGGAGACAGTTTTGGACTTACGAATGTTTACTTGAATACGGTAATGTTATTTTAAACATACCATTTTCTGAGGTGTTTGGACCAGTTGTCGTGTCCGGATTAGACTTGTAAATATTCCCGAATTTTCTTGAGCATTTATTGGTAGTTATAAATATTACTGCGCATCAACCACTGAGTTCCTATAGCAGGTAGTTTAAGTTAGTAAATACGTATCGTAATCATCAACAATTAATTAAGAGAGATACATTGTGTTATTTAAGCGTTTGGATCAGGTTAAGGTGTTTTGATCATAGCGTACGGAGGATTACGTGAAGATAAGCCCCTTTAGATTACCTCACCTTAAGAAAAATCACCCAAATCCAAAGCTAACTTAACCTAACGCAACGCTAACCTAACCTAATGCAATGATAACCTAACCCCATGCCTGACACTGTGAGCTGTAGGAGTGAGACGAGGTATTCTCAGAGGCGCCCTACGTGAGGATTTATTTGGGTGACGAGACCCCCTGGGATGTCATCTTTCCTCTGCAGCCCTGAATCCTCCTCCACACACTGTAGCCCTAAACCCTCATCCACACACTGTAGCCCTGAACCCTCTTCCACACACACACACACACACCTCCTTTGCCCATTTTTCTTTCTTTTTAACACTCCTCACTACCTCATATTTTCTTCGTTGTTTCTGTGATTTATTAAATTCTTATCTTCCACTTTTCTTCTGCGTGTTTAGTGTGGGATGCCCAGTTGGTCGCCTCACCTTCCACCTCCAAGAACTACTTGCCGATATCGAAAAAAAATAACTAATAATTTCTGTTGAGTTGCTTAGTTTGTCCTAAAAGAGTTTTTCGTGTACTGTATAAGAAAAATGGGAAAATTTACCTATATTTCCTGGAGGCAAAAAAGATCCTTAGTTTTATTATTATATTGTGAAAAATGTCAAAAAGGTGAATATTAAAAAAATAATATTTGCATTCTGTTATTCAGATATTAATAAGTGGATGGAGAAATGAACGCTTGTAAATGATACTTAAATAGTGTTTTGTTTAATACTTTGCATATTAGAATAAACAAGATACCGAAACGTTTCATTATTATAATATCCTGACGTTAAAATACATTGTAATAAAGAAAATTCAGAGTTCTTCTTTGTATTATTCAGTATTAACTTCCAATGTAGTTACCTGTCAATCTGTCATTCGTCCTCTCACACTAAGTTGTATTCTTTTGCGTTCGTCGTTTACACAACACTGTAGGGGTATGAGATATTGGTTCACACTCAGGATGGGATGGAGAAAGGAAACTCACAATGTGCTCACTGTATACATATTGTATTGGATGTACAATGCAGCTTGTTGCTGGGTAGGTAGCATGGTAATAAGTGTTGTGTAGAGAGAGCTGGGTGGTGAGGGTGCCCAGAGGAGGGACACGCGGCTTGTGGGACGCCAAGGTCGCTGGCGGGAAGCGCGGAGGAGGAAGCGTTGCTTGCTGGTGGCACTGAGTAGAAAGAGGCTGGTCACAGCGGTGTCAGGCCTTATAAGGCGTGGGTAGTTAGTTGACCCCCGCTCCGTGGGCGGCGCTGGAGGCGTAGGCTGGGGATTCGAGAAGGTTCGGTGCTTGTAGGGGAGGAATCCACTACAACACACTATTCACATTTATTCGTATATATTTTTGAGTAATATTTGAGTTTTAATAAACAGTTTTTGTTCGGGAAATTTATTGTTACGGTTGACCTTATTATACGCCTGGAGATACACGGTAAGTAAACATTCTATTGCAAGTATAAATTTTAATTACTACAAGCTTATTTTTCAACTATTTTATTATTATTTTGCAAGTTTAATTCTGCACATTTATTGCATGACAATTTTGAACTTCAGATTGTACGTTTAAATTTCGAGCTTCTTCCAGCATGGTAAATTTTGGTCATTATTTTTACGGCATGTTTTCAGCTTTTGGAATGAAAATGTTTCAATGCATTTTTTAATATTTTCTAGCATTTTCACCTGGAATGTTTTATTGTATTTTATCCCTCTAAAAATTGTTTTGAGGTAATTTATACTGTATTATTGCGACAAATTGATGTTCATTAAAAAAAATATTGTTAGAACATAAATTATAATCTACAGGTATATACTTCATGATTGTCTCTCAAAATTATAGATATATAGATCATATATTTACCTTCTTAGGGGATAAAACATACATATTTCTACCTCATATACACAACATACAGTATTTACGTGATGTCATTGTATTCCTGCGCTTCACTAACTTCAACGTAATGGTGTTGATATATACCTGTGCTTCACTAACTTCACATATTGTAGTATTCTCAGTTGATGTAATGATGCATTGCCTAATATTTCTATAACTTGCCGTTGACGTTACAATATATTACTATTACGATTACCAGTTTCTCGTGGTTAATTATTTTCCTTTGTCTATCTTATTTCTTCCTATTTTTTTTCTTGCAGTTTTGTCATTCAGAAATGTTTTTAAATTTGGCGGTATTTTATGAATTGGCGAGATTTTGAAATAAATGTCATATTAGTGAGGTGCTATTGCTAGTATTTGGCGAAATTGCGTGAATTGGTATATTCCAACTTGGCGCAAATACCTGTCTAATTGCCGTAATGCGAACATAAATTAGCGATTCATGGGACGTCATTTACTTGTATCTTAACTTCGCGCTTAGCAGTGACGCCGTGTTTAAGATGACACCTGTACTGGCTGACGTATATATGTATCCTGCCACACTTGTTGTTTCTCTACTCCTGTACTATACTGCCACAACATACCTGTTAAACTACATCACTACACTATTTAAATCTACACACCTGTACTCGGGAGTTTTCTTCAATGCCATATCTGCTAAACCTCCAAATACAGTCTGATTCTCAAATACGTGCATTAAATTATAGACTGTATTCCTAGGACAATTCTAAGACACAGTTGATGAGAAAAGTCTGAATTCACACAGTTTCCTCACCTGCAGCACTTGAAAAGGTAATAGTAGTGAGGTGGGAGGGAAATAACAGTCGTAGAGATTTGTGTGAGAATGCTATACAGTTGCCATATTACAGTAAATTTTGATATTTTATTGCAATAAGGCAAATTTATTACAGAGTTATGCGCATATTACATAAAAAAAATCCACGGCTGTTCCCCTCCCACCCCACTGTTATTACCTCACCTTTCAAGTCCTGTAGGTGAGGTAACTGTGGTTTCAGACATTTTCTCATATTGACAGTGTCTTAGAATACACCCTGAAATTTACTGCTAAACCTCCAAATATACTTCAAAGCCACACCTGTTAAATCTCCAGATATACTTCAAAGCCACATCTGCTAAACCTCCAAATATACTTCAAACGCCACATCTGCTAAACCTCCAAATATACTTCAAAGCCACATCTGTTAAACCTCCAGATATACTTCAAATACCACACCTGTTCACCTTCCATACTTATGTTAAACTCCAAACACTTGCTGATTCACCACATCACCCTACACCTGTTAAAATCCACAACTGCCTCGCCACATGTGTCAAAACAAGCCCCACAACACCTGTTAACGTGTGTCCGTGTATTGCCGTGGGACAGGTGCAGCCACGAGTACCTGGACATCTACACGGAAATTAAGGACCCTAAGAAGGTGGACCTCCTGACGACGCCGTTTGGAGGTCGGTACTGTGGCGGTATCTCACCTAGGCTGCGTGTCTCTCTCTATACCACCATCGTCATCAGCTTCTACACCGACCTCTTGAACACCACGTCTGAACTCTTCATCGGCAAATACAAGTTCTTCAACGATTGTGAGTGAACGATTCTCTCTCTCTCTCTCTCTCTCTCTCTCTCTCTCTCTCTCTCTCTCTCTGTAAACATGGGTTGTAAAATATTGTCAATGTTTTCTGTTTTATTCCTTCAAACATATTCTCTCTCTCTCTCTCTCTCTCTCTCTCTCTCTCTCTCTCTCTCTCTCTCTCTCTCTCTCTCTCTACGGTAACAAACACGTTCTTCCTTCCCACAGCCAAGTACATGGTGGGTGACCTGGTGCCGGATACACTCTGCGGCTACGTCATCCACTCTGACCTGAAGAAGAATGGCCAGTTCATGACCCTCACTTACCCTGGCGCCTATCCCAAGAACATCACCTGTTACTACAAGTTCATAGGTCGTAGGGAACAGCGGATCAGACTCGAATTTAGGGATTTTGATCTCTTCTATGGCGGCCCTCAGTGAGTATTGGTTCTCTCTCTCTCTCTCCAATATTTATTTATTTATGGGATTTCATTATTTGGCGGCCATGTTAGGTTCAAAAGACTCCAGTCCAAGTGCTCGTTGTTGTAGCGTCATCACCTTTATCTTGATTTACCTTTGTGGTGCATTTATCCTTTTTTTCCCATCTTTCTATGTCACCCTAACTTTCCTCCCTATTTCTTTTGACCATTTTCTCCTTTCTTCCTTCCCCTTCCCCCCCTTTCTTTTTTCTTTCTCCCCCTTTCCTCTTTTCTTTCTCCCCCTTTCCTCTTTTCTTTCTCCTTTTTCCTTTCTTCCCTTTCCTCTTTTCTTTCTCCCATTTCTTCACCTTTCTCTTTCCCATTTTCCTTCCACTTTTACTTGTCTACCCATTTATCTCCTTGCGTCTCTCCTCCTACCTTCCCTCATTCCTCTCCCTACTGTTAACGTTATTACGACGTGAAATCCAATAGACCTCCTGCATGTCTCTGCTTCAGCAGGTAGAAAACCAAGAGGATGTGGCTGGGGCCTCCTGATTGGTGTAACGTCGAGGGAATATGTTGGGTGGAGGAGGGGGGGGGGTTCCTGATTGGTGGAAATTCGTTTGGGGGGTCTTCCTGATTGGTTTAAAGTCTCAAGAGTTTCCCAATTGGGTAGAAGTCTTGAGTAGCTGTGTGAGAAGTTTTTTTATTGGTAGACTTAAATATGATCGAAGCCCCTTGATTGGTTGAAACTAAAAATGGTAAAGCTGGAGGCGAGTCATTATTAGGTTAAGGGGAAGTCATTTAGGCCTTCTCATTGGTAGCAGGTAGAGGGGATGTAGTTTTAACGTTCTTATTGGTTACAGTTTTAAAGGACTTTCTTTTTGAGACAATTCTGATTGGTGGATGGTTTATAGGGAGATGGTTGACGCTTTCTGGTTCGCTGAGGATTGACGTAGTGATTGTAAGGGTAAATTTGATTTATAATTTTTATTATTATATTTTTCCAGCCACCTGATTGGTTGCAACTCCAGGATATATACTGTCGGGTCTTCCAAAAGGTGGAGTGAGTTAGTCAAGGATCCTTATTGGTGGAATTTATAAGCCAAGGCTCCCAATTGGTGGAATTTGATGGTAGTTACTGTAGTCGAATATGTATTTACAAATTCCAGCAGTTTGTCGTAACTAGAAAAGATTTCAGTGATGATATAAAATGGGTAAAATTTACTTAAGAAATTAGGAGTAACTTTGAAAAATATATATGTAAATAAGTGTCGGGGGTTAAATGTAAACAGGAAGAAATTAACTCATTAAAGTTTGTGTAAATTGTATTAAAATTGGTAAATGTGCAGTTAATCTCTCACTTGTGTAAATAGCGAACCAGGGGCCTTAAGGACAGGAGACGAGTAAACTAGTGTAATTAAAGTTAGAAAAATTGTAAACGTGTCATTAATATTTAAACCGTGTAAATAGCATTAAGTAAAGGTGGATTCTTTACCTGATCAGGGGCGGGTGGAGGCAAGGGGGCTGCGTGAAGGGAGGGGTGGAAGGATGATAGGTGTGGGGACGGGTGGAGGAAGATGGTGGATGAAGGGATACTTACTGTAATCTCCCGAGAGCTTTGCCTTTACTCACACCTCATGATTTTATGAAGCTTTTAATAGTGTATGAATTATCCTCAAGATGAAGTTAGCATGACTAAAAATGTCCTCTCCTCTCCTATTCCCATTCCTACCCTTGTTTCTTCTTCGTCTCCCCTTCCTTCTTTTCGTCGGTCTTTCCTTCCTCCTTTTAATGTATGCAATCTGGATTTTTTCTTTATTTCGTTTCGTGATATATAATTTATTTTGTTTCTTATCTGAAGTGGAGGAAGAGGAGGAGGAGGGGGGGGGGAGAGGGAGGCCGTGAAGTGGTACAAATCCTGTTGCCGTCAGCATGTTTACAGAAGTCCGCCACAATTCCTTAAAGGATGGCCAAACTTAGTCCACGTTTTGCTGCCACGTTACTGGAAAATGGCAGCAAGTATATTTTTTTTATTTTTTCATATTATTATTGTCGCAATTTCCTTTTTATTATTCACACATGTAATAGAAATCTTTATATCTTTATTTTTTGTTTACGTGTTTGTGTATAAAAGTACTGTAGATGTTACCTCTGAAGTGTTATGGTGGTTGATATATGGGAAAATTATATCCGTGTTGAGGATGGTGTGGAAGGTGTGGCTCGTCTGCCCTGCAAGGCTGGTGTGAAGGGTGTGGTTAAGTATAGGGGCCATTTTTATAACGGTTGGCCCACGTACTAGAAGAGGGGTGTGGTTATCTATGCTAGGCAAGACCTTAGAGCCAGCCAGGCGAGGGTACAGGGAGAGGATGTTTTTTGAAGAGTCCAAGTGGTGTAAAATTAAACTAAAGGGAAGGGACTTACTTATTGTCGGGTGTATCTACAGATCCCCAAACTGTGGCCCACTAAATCAAAGGAACTTAAGAGCCTTAATAGACAATACGGCGATACTCAACCCTAGCCACCCCCTTATCATGGGGGACATTAACTATGGCGACATCAACTGGAGAAACGAGTTTGCCCCAAATGACTTGAATAACCCTGCTACTCTTTTTGTAGAATCTCTGAGAGATAATTTTCTGTTTCAACATGTTAGAGACCCGACACATTACAAAGGGGAGCAAACACCCAAGCCACTAGACCTCATCATAACAAACGAGGAGGGTATGGTGGCCAAACTGGAACACCTTGCCCAAGTTGGCACCAGTCACCTTATAGTGTTGTCATTCAGCTTTAACTGATACCTATTATTACCTAGTTCAAGATAAGGCCAGGCCAAGGTGCAAATATTACAGGGGAAATCACAACGGGATGAGGGAAGAGATGAGGGGTATCCACTGGCCTGACTCATTAAGGCACAAGAACGCAGACACTACGTTGAATATCATAACTAGTAAAGTGACCAATTTGATCTATAAATATATGCCCAAGACCAAACACAGTGCCTCTAGGAATACGAGGAGATCTCTACACATGAACCACGCGGCGGTAGACAGAGTTAAGAAGAAAACCCAGAAATTCAAGACGTGGGTTGGGTCAAATGATGAGCAGGACAGGAGGATTTTTTTTTTTTTTTTACGGGGATTAGCCCACCCGGACACAGGTCACTGACCCACATCGGGGACTGGGGGGCGAAAATGTAATAATAATAATAATAATAATAATAATAATAATAATAATAATAATAATAATAATAATAATAATGATAATAATAATAATAATAATAATAATAATAATAATAATAATAATAATAATAATAATAATAATAATAATAATAATAATAATAATAATAATAATAATTCATAATAAATAAAATTTGATAAAACAAACAAAAATAAAATAATAAAATAATGATGATAATAATACAGTAACTGTAATAATAATGATAATTTTAATAATAAAGAACTATAAATACAAAAATGAAAAAAAACATCAAAAGTGAGAAACGATACATGTATGTTGTGTTGTCAATGGTAAGAGAAACAATTGAGACCCTGCAATTGTGTGTAAATGAAGCAGAAAGTCAGATCAGCAACCTGGGACTTGGTCACAATTTTCGTGATGCCATATGGTTGCAAGCGAGGTCAAGTCAAACCCAAAGGCATTTTACCGCTATGCAAAGTCGAAATTAAAAACGCGAGTAGGAGTATCAGACCTGAGGCTTGAAGATGGTAGTTATGCAGATTCTCACCAGGATAAAGCTGAGGCATTGAACAGCTTCTTTTCCTTGGTGTTCATAAGAGAGGATGTGATTAACCTTCCTGCGTTTGAGGACAGACGGTTCGACAGCACTGACCCACATTGCGTTCACAGAAGAGGGTATTAGAAATAAAGTGTCAAAGCTAAAGGTCCATAAGAGTCCAGGCCCTGACAGGGTGCATCCTAGAGTGCTAAGAGAGTTGAGCAACGAGCTTGCCGAGCCCCTGAAGATCCTGTTTTGTAAATGCCTGGATGAACAAAAGGTCCCCAGTGAATGGAAAGTGGCTTATGTGAGTCCTTTCTTCAAGAAGGGCGATCGTCACCTCACGAACAACTATAGACCAGTGAGCCTGACCAGCATAATATGTAAAGTACTTGAGAGTATTATCAGAGTTGCTGCGATGGAACATTTACTACGAAACAACCTTGTAAGGGATTGCCAACACGGTTTTATGCCGGGGTGCTTCTGCTTAACACAATTGCTCAAGGTATTGGATATTTGGACCCATATACTGGAACGGGGTGGTAATATCGACAATATTTTCCTAGATTTTGCCAAGGCTTTCGACAGTGTACCCCACAAAAGGCTGAAAATCAAACTGGAAGGGTACGGAATTTGGGGAAATGTCCTAGCGTGGATAGAAGACTTCATACATGACCGCAAGCAGTGTGTGGTGATTAATGGCACGAAATCATCATCAGTACCTGTCACAAGCGGGGTACCACAGGGCAGTGTATTGGGCGCGCTGTTGTTTGTTTGTTTGTTTGTTTTATAAATGACATGCCTGACGTTGTACACTCCTCCAGGGCAGTAGTCATATTTTGTGCCACCAGTAGTGGTAGGTGAGGGGCGGATGGCAGAATTCCCAAGCTAATAGCGTTACTCCAATTCTTCCAATGATGCTAACTCCAACCAAAGGCATTACATGCACTGTACTGTACTCTTCTTACCAAAATCATCACTACCAGTTTATATCACCCACTGAGTCCACTGTCTGACAATACCTGAAGTTATTTTGAACAATAAAGCAGCTTGGTGTCGACTCATTCTACCTCATGTATTTTATCAACCGTTGTTTGTTTCACTAGTTTACTCGAGTTTTTGGGTTTTGTAATTGATACAACATCAAATCTTGTGGTTTTTGACTGTTGCAGACTGTTTTGATTTATTTCCTAGCAATTTTATTTGGAAAAAATGACTGTCCTTTTTTATAAACCTTGTACTCATATATTTGATTTCAGATATATCTTTGACTCATTCCTTGTACATTTATCTAATTATTCTGTTCTGCTATTAACTCCGTCATTCTCTTTCAGCTGTCCGTTCGACCAGGTGAAGATGTATGATGGGCCAAACTACATAGCTCCGCTGATTGGAACTTACTGTGGCCAACAAAGAAACTTGGTAATTTTCAGCACGGGTAGCACACTACTTCTTACCTTCACGACCCTCGAACGCATCGCCGACACTCAAAATAGGGGGTTCCAGGGGATATTCAACTTTTCTGAGAGTTATGTCAAATTAGGTGAGTGACTTTAAATTGATTGAATAATTACTCTCATCTATAATGGTGGAAGGGATATTTGCTTGTTGCTTGTCAAAGAATGTGGGTGTATATGTGACTATGGTATCAGACTATCAGTTTTCTGGGCACTGGAACAACAGTAACAGATCCCCTATGATTGGGCCCTGGCTATAAGGGGAGTGCAATGCTGCCCCCGTGTCCTAAATAAGGTTAAGTGTTCAGTACAGTGTGCTGCATCTACATTGCCCACAATCTCATATCCTTGCCCAGTAGAATGTAGTGCCTGAATCACTGACCACTCCCATTGGCCATGAGTCGGCTTTCATAGGGGTAGATGACTTAAGTTCCATCAGGTTTACCAGACTTACCTACATTTTCGACTTAAGAATGTCCCCAGGAACAAAACTCGTTCATAACCTGGGGACTGCCTGTACATCCTGTACAGTACAGTACTGTATTGCATTTTTCTATTATTGAAGATGATATATTAATTATGATGAATCATACAACATAAGTGGCTGATCATATGAGAATATAATATTGAATCAATAAATAAACCCCAGCCTGTTTACATGCACTTTTCTTGCACTTCTGCATTTCTCATTAAGCCTGTAACAATTTGATATGACCACTGTGCAATATTCAGTGAGCAAGTGTTGTTCTTTACATAAATAATATTTTTTTTATCCATTTCTCAAAATATGTACTCTACATAATTTTACCCATTTCTTATAACCCCCAACTATCTCCGTTAAAGATAATACATACTCTACATAAGAGTTCAATTAAATGAGCACAGGTAGAGGTGCAGATCACTGTTATAATACATATGAAGGCAGGATGCAGACTGAGGCACCTGCTGCACGACACCCATGCACAAATGTTCAACAATACATGCAAACTATCTGGACTGATGCTTGATTTTCCATTTTTTATAATGTTTCTGGTGAATAGAGAGGCAATCTAGAGTGCCTCAGAGAGAGAGAGAAAAAAAATTCAGTACTGTACTTCTGTACAATATAGTCTGGTTTTATGCGGATATTTTTTATGCGGAAGGCCATTTATGTGACACCTGTCAGAAGAGATAATTATTATTTACAAGGTAAATTTCATAATGTACACGGCAAGCGACAGGGAGAGGTGCTGGGCTCTGACGTAATACTCGCGCTGGTGACGTCACAGACTGATTGTGCTACATATCCTTACCACCCACGCACCCCCTCCGCCGCGACCTGTGATTGGTTTAGGCATCCTTGCCACCCCTGCCACCCACGCTCTCTGCCTCCGTGTCAGTCTCAGTGTCTCCGCATATATTCACTCGTGCCCAGGAACCAGTGCTTTTTTTCTTTCTACACAATGGCTTCCGCTGGACCCCCACCACCTCCGAGAGGCCCTGAACTACCATCATAAAATTAAGATGTTATTTTTACTACAATGTACAGTATTGTGTCGGCGATAGCCAAAAAAAGATGAGTCTGGCGATCGGCCTAATCTCTATTTCAATTAATCCAATAGGTTCCATTATTTTATTTACGCGTTTTGCTTTATGCGCGGACCTCCATAGGTTTAATTAACCGCATAAAACCAGACGACTGTATATTGAATTCTGGTGTACTGTCTAGAGGTATTACTGTACATTCTCTTATTTGTTTTAAATATCATGATCTGTTCTTTTTACATATTTCACCAACTCTACCATGTTTTCAGACTATGAAGGCTCTAACATTTGTCAAACATTATTAACTAATGTTATTTTATTGCCAGATTTCATCAACACTTTGGACTCAGAGCACATCAGAGGGACAGAGTGTGACCAACGTATCTTGAGCAAGAGAGAATCCAATGGCACTGTCTATAGTCCCAACTATCCCTTCCCATACCTGCCTAATATTGTTTGTAGGTACTTCATCTATGGCCTCCAAGATGCTCAGAATTTGGAGAGAGTTAGACTTCAGTTCTTCGATAGATTTGATATACCGGCAGATCTGAAAGGTGATAAAAAGTAAGTACCCTGTAAATTAGTGTTTGTTTCTTACTGTGTATGTATGTGTTCAAATGATTTGAGGATGTGAATAATTGGTGGCAAATTATTGCCATGGTGAAAATTTCCAAGAACTGAATAGCTTAAAATGCCCATATTTACACAAAATTTACACAAAGCTTCTCACAGGCTCTTATAAAATTTGATGCATAATAAACAAGAAATTTACTAGAGTGGGCTCACATGTTTAAATTTATTTTGCATGGGTCAGTGCAAAGCCTAATGTGGCCTATGTTGAGTGGGAGGACATCACTTTTAAAACATTTATGAAGACAAAAATAAATATGTTTTCTAGGCTAGACCACCTATTGTGAGTCCTAGAATATTGATTACAGAAAGGTAATGATGAGGAATTTTTTTGTTTTGAAAGTTTATTTGTTATTAATTATGGCTTGACTATCACTTACATGGAATGTAAATATGAAAAGTTTTTTGTAAATTACAATTTCAAATGGCCTGAAATAATTACACAGCCTTTCAGATCTATGATTTACACCTCATTTTGTAGATATATAGTATACTCTACACCCTTTTGCTTGCCACATACTGTGCAGGCAGTTCCTGATTCATGAAGATCTGGTTTACAAAAATCCAAAATTTAGAAATAAAACAAAACGTTTGAATTCTTGCTTCTGACCCGTAAACTGCTATCCACCTTAGTTGACACTGCACGGTTTACTATTAATTGTGTCAGTTAACACTTGTGTTTATGTGCCATGATTTAAAGTCCACTCAACATGACGTCAGCTGGGTAGCCCTGAGCAGATATCGCCTTCCTCTTTACATCATGGAAGACATTCCAATCAACGTTTCCACATAGGAAGTACCAAGCATAAGAGCACCTGTATCCTACACTATTAAAATGGCAGAAAATGTTTAAAATGCGACGCCCTATTATGTGTTGCAGAATGTTTTAGGGAGTTTCATACCTTAAAGAAATACTGTACAGTATTAAAAAAATGGTCAGCATTTGCAAATAATGAACTGTACAGTGTATGAAAATGTATTTACTTGGTGAAGAAAAGTGTATCAATACATAAATATTTTTTGTACAGTATAAGTTTATTCTGTCATGAGTGTCCATTACAGTTTTCATGTAAATAAACACTTTTAAGTGCTAAAGACATATTTTTAGTACAGTATAATTGTGTACAATAATTATGTCATGGAACATTATTACACTGCGCAGTAAACTTGCTGGGGGAAGTTCTTGGGAGCAACCTTACAAGCCTGCCAGCTCTACTAAAAATGAAAATACATACTGTACTGTTCTCCTCTTTTACTTTATTGTCTTTTCCTTTTGTTTTGCATTTGTATTTATGTAAGTTATATTTTAGAATTTAAAGGGCTAATTGTTTTGTGCACAGGAGGGGTAGCTACAGATTTGTGTTGAGCAGTTTAATGGTTATGTTAAGCTACCTTAAATCCATGGCTTATCTTTGATTAAATAACTTCTCTCTCAGTTACACAGGCCTTTTTGCAAATCTATTGTTTGGTAATTTGGCTTGGCATATTTCCCACCCACTCATCCAAGCACTTTACATTCTAACACTCTTTTATTCAAACCTCTTAGTCCATATTTTCAAAGTTTTAAATAATAAATTATTTAACACTGTCTATTTGCAGCTGCTCTGACGGCTATCTTAGAATATACTTGAAGGGGCAGGAAACAGAGAATGCCTATGACAGTCCTGACTATGAGGTGTGTGGGAAGACTTTACCTCAGACCGTGGTCTCTACTGGTCCAAGGCTTGTCATGGTGTTTAGTTCGGGAAAGTTTCAGGGTGGAGGATTTAAAGCCCATTATAAATTTGAAACAGGTGAGCATTAAAGTGAAGATAGATTATCATTTTTTTTGTATCCTGACTTAAATGATATAAATTTTATACCACATTATAATACTGTTTTGAAAATGGGTATAAGTTTTGAGATTTTACTTGGTTTGAAAGTAAACATCAAGATTAAAAATTTGGCAAAGATTCTTGAACAAATATATTCATGTAAAGTAAAACTGATCTTTTTGTAATTTACAATGTAATAACTTGAACCTTTCCCAGAATACAAGATCCCAGGCACACCATCTCCAGACGGAAAATGTATTTTCACTTACTATAGCTCAAGCCGCAAAGATGGGATTTTCAACTCTCCCCGGCACCCTGCCAACTACCCGTCCAATACTACGTGCGAATTCACTTTTCAGGCCAACCCCGATGAACAAGTTCGGCTGTCATTTTCTCCATTTGAACTCAAAAGTGAGAAAAATAACCTAACATATGGGTAAGTTGTGAAAGAATTGTATTTGAAACTATTTACTTGTTTACTTTGTCTGTAAGTTTAATCTCAAGATGGTCACTGTCATAAAAATTTTCAAGCACCATTGAACATAATTCAGGGTGTTGCACAGAATTCTCAGGTTAGAAGAAGAAAGGACCTATGAATTTTAGGGTCATTGGGTCAAAGTAATTATTGCCACAGTAAAACTGTAACCTGAATTTCCATGTACCAGCGATCATGATACAGTATTGCACAGGTTCACTGGATCAAAATTCAAGATGGTTGCTGCAGAAAACTAGAATTTTGCTTTCTGCACCATAACTCGACCTTCTCTACACCATTGAGTAGTATGATATTTCATAGTAATTATCTTCCTCTGAGGAAGAGAAAGATCTCTCTCAGTTCTGATGTCTGAGTATGTGTACAGTATTGTATGCTCTTTTTAATATGGTACAGTACAGTACTCATGTTTTATTGTAAATAACATGTATATTTTTTCCTAACCATCTTTTGTTTTCAATTTGACCATAAATATAATGAAGTTCAGAACAGTATTGTTGTCTGTAATTTTGCATTTGTTGATTTCCAGTCATGTGAATTGATATCAGTACAGTAATCCTATGATGGACAGACAACATTGCACCAAAAATTTTATACAGTTATCAAATTATTTTTGGATTATATACCTTTTGTTTGATTTTTTTCACCACTAACTTTACAGAAACTGTTTCAGATTTTTCCATCACATTTGCACAAGTTCAGAAAATAATAATACTGTGTACAGTATTGAAGCAGTTTACAGAGTATAGCCTGTATTTCTGTTTACTTTCAACCTCACTGATGAAATAAGTAATTGTAAAATTGCAGACCCTGGGTTGGAAAACATTCTATTGGTTCTAACCGGTACAGTACTGTAGAGGTACATTACTTGATGAACAGTTGGTGTACAGAGAACACTATAGTACAGTACTCCATTCATGACAGGCATAGACAACAACATGAGTAAATTTGCTGATAATATAAAGATTGGGTGCATAATTAAATCTGATGAGAACTATGAAAAATTAAAGGAAGACCAAAACAAACTTGTAGTATGAACTGAAAAGTGGCAGATGCAATGTTATGAGGAAAAATGAAAAGTTCTAAAGCTAGGAAATGGAAAAGGGGAAACAGCTATCAGCTGAACAATGCAATTACAGTACAGTAGAAGTCCAAAAATCCGGATGGCTTGGGGATTGGGTCGGTCCGGATTTTCGGATTTTCCGGATTCTCAGGCAGTACTTTTAAAATTCAAATTTAAGGAGGAATAAAGAAGAGATGAACAGGTACATTTTGATAGTTTATTCATTAGCAAATATAGCATGCTTCATTTATCAAAACGAGCAGTTTTAAAGAAAAAGCTATGAATTCTAGAATTTTATTCTTTGCCTTTTTTATATCATAAATTGTAGACTTTCCGATGTCGTATGTTTCCATTAGAACAGTATTGCTCACACCATGTTCTAGTTTCTTAATTATTTCAAGTTTGTCACTCAATTTCAACGTGTTCTTCTTTCTCTTCACACAACGAGGTTTATCTACTTTAGGAGCCATTATTATGGGCTTGTACAGTACTCTGTAAATAGAAAGAGTAGGACTCAAAATTACATACGTTGTCACAGTTTGATTGCTCGTTTTAAAGTGGCGACCGCGTGGTCGCTTGTTGTTGCTGTGCAGCTGTGGCGCTCACGCATGTGCACATACACACAAAAGCCAGTTAAATTAAAAAAAAAAAAAATTGAGTTTTCGAAAAGTCCGGATTCTCGGGTGGTCCGGATATCTGGCATCCGGATTTTTGGACTTCTACTGTATAGAGAAATCTGATTTTGAGAAATTTAGAGGTACAGGGTAATTATGAATGTAAAACCACGTCAGCAATGAACTTACATTCAAAACAAGGCAAACAAAGTACAATATACAGTACTGGGGTTTATATCTAGGAGGATTAATAAAAGGACTAGTGAGGTTATCCTTCAACTATATCTCACACATGTGAGACATCACTTGGATTCTGTGGTTCAGTTTTAATCACTGTACTGTATAATGGATAATGATTCCCTAGAAAGCATTCAGAGGAGGATGACAAAGTTGATGCAAAGGATTAGGAAGCTTGAGAATAAAAACAAATTAGGAAAACTGAATTTGCATTCTCATGAGAGACATACTAGAATGGGAGCAATATGATCAAAGTGTATAAATCGATGATGGGGTTAAATAAAAGTGATCTAAATAAGGTACTTAACTTGTCAAATCAGATGCGAACATGTAACAATGGTTTTGAATTAGACAAAATTAGATTTATGCGTAAAATGAGCAAACATTGATACGGAAATGAGGGTTATAGGTAAGTTTAATAAATTATTAAACACAATCATTAACTCAACTCCCTGGGAAGCTTTAACTATAGGTTGGACAGATATACGAGTGCTAAGAATTGCATAAAATGGGCTTCTTAGTGTGGACCAATAGACCTGCTGCAGTTTTCTTCATATGTTCTTATGGAGGTAGATATCATCTGAGTAGTAATTCAAATAAATTAATAACAGTATTATTGTACATGGTACAGTTGAAAATACTAACTTGTTTCAAACTTCCAGAAACCATTGTCAAGAAGACTGGGTGGAAATTTATAATGTGTACAAACCAGTTGGGTCTGATATAGAACGTGAAAGGCTCAATGGTAGGTACTGTGGCATGGCAGCCCCTGGCCCTATAGAGAGTGAACTTGAGGCAGTGGGTCTACGTGTTGTGCTAAGAACTGACCATGGAAATGTCTCAAGTGGTTTTGGAGCAAGATATCAGTTTAAAAAGAAGGAAATGCTCTTTAGAGGTAAGTGAGATTTTATAAAATTGTACAAGTTACCTCCTCCCACTTTTACAATGCATGCCAGTAGGTTTTCCTGTAAATAAAATTCCCCAAACAATTTGCTTCTATATACAGTGAACCCTCACTTTACGCGGTCAATTGAACCCACGGAGGCCCGCATAAAGCGAGAAACGCGTAAAGTGAACAACATAACATATGGGATTAAATGAAATAGAGACCAGCTGACCCCCAAACTCCACTTTTTCCGACACAATACCTATGTTCTAGTAAAAATAACATCTTAATTTTATGATGGTACATGCACACAATTAATACTTAAGAGAAATAGAGAAATACAGTCGCCAAGTTAATGTCCATTCAAATAATGGACTCAACTCCCTCCCCCTCTTCTCACACTCCTGGCTCTTCCCTCTCTGAGAAATGTTTGGGGGAAAACCACTAGATTTTAAGGTATAGTAATAAATAATACCTCAAACTAAAGTTAGGATAATATAATTGACATTGCTGGATTTCTTGTAAGACCAGGAATATTTTGAATATAAATGTCATATATTTTGCACAAAAGATAACATATTTACTCAGAGTAAACAAAATACTTAAAGTAGATCTAAAATTTGTATGTCTAATGCAAAATCTATGATGTTTATATTCAAAATGATCATCAAATTGTAAGAATTCCAGCAATGTAAATTATATTCTGGCCTGGTAATTTGTATGAATTTTATGAGCTAAAACAAATATCTTCAATAAATAAACAAAATATACTTACCGAAATACTATCTGTCAATCAAAATACCCCACCTCCCCACTCTTCCCACCTGCTCCCTGAGTCCCTCCCTACCCCTCACCCCCACCTTCCCTCCCTACCAGAGAAATGATTGGGTTATAACAGTATATTTAAATTTTTAGTAATAAATAATACCTCAGACTAAATTTGGATAATATAATTGACATTGCTGGATTCCTTGCAAGACCAGGAATATTTTGAATAAACACTTCATATATTTTGCACAAAAGATAACATATTTGCTCTGAGTAAACAAAATACTTGCATTAGATCTAAAATTTGTATGTCCAATGCAAAATCTATGATGCTTATATTCAAAATGATCATCAAATTGTAAGAATTCCAGCAATGTAAATTATATTCTGGCCGGATAATTTGTATGAATTTTATGAGCTAAATAAAAAAATTACACTTCACCCGCGTATATGAGTAGATGCACCTCGTAAAGTGGGAATTCCGGTTCTGGCAGGGTACCGCGTAAATGTAGAAACGCGTAAAGTGAAACCGCGTAAAGTGAAACCGCGTAAAGTGAAACCGCGTAAAGCGAGGGTTAACTGTGTGTGTGTGTGTGTGTATATATATATATATATATATATATATATATATATATATATATATATATATATATATATATATATATATATATATATATATATATATATATATATATATATATATATATATATATATATATATATATATATATATATATATATATATATATATATATATATATATATATATATATATATATATATATATATATATATATATATATATATATATTTATATTTATATTTATATTTATATTTATATTTATATTTATATTTATATATATATTTATATTTATATTTATATTTATTTATTTATTCTGGATTTACGTGGTTTTTGTTTACGCGTTTGGTTATTTACGCTGTGCCTTGCCAGAATGAAATGTTTTAATAATGCGGTAAATTTCATCATTTACGTGGCGAGCGGCTGGAGAGGTCCAGATGCGCCACGCCATTTTTTACTCACGCGGTCCATTCTTAACCATACGCAGGAAGCGGCGCGGTGAGGGGTGCGCATTAGGCCGCTCTTACGTTATAATAATAATAATAATAATAATAATTAACGGTTTATTGAAAGAGCTTGGCAGCCAGAAGGCTGAAAATATACAGTTACATAATTGGGGAATGGGTTTCGATTTACAAATAATATACAAATAACAAAGTGATACAAATAAGATATATAATAACTAGATGGGGAAAAGCTCAAACTACAGGGCATTTCAACATAGTGACAGTGCAAGAAGTAGTATTTACTGGGAGTGAATACACTGGTTTATTACAAGTTATTGTTAATTTTTACAGTGGTTGGGACTGGGCTGTTCTTATAGCGATCAGTTCGTTACTTATATCTACCCGAAAATACAAGTTGAAAAACAACCATAACACCACACAGCTTGGCCCAGTAGCCTGGTGGTTACATTGACTAGTCTAACCTGGCTACATTGCCATGATTTAATCACTATTAAACACTATTGTATCAGTAAACACTAATAATATTAGTAAATCCAGTGAAATATGGCAAAGAGCAAAGAGTTACAAGAGCAGACCATGCTCTAACTAGTGCTGACTCACTCACTCCCATTGCCAGGCGTACGATTGAAATACAGTACATATGAGAGAAATACATATCTAGTCTAATTTGAAAATGGTGACGGGCACAGTTACCCGGTATAAACAAATTATATAAACCATGCATTTACATATGATAACATAATAAGAAACATTACTATAGTGAATGAAATAATATTCCTACCAACAGCAATTGACAACTCTGTTTATGTTGCTCGCCTCGGGCACCTGTGTCCCACGCTCTGACATCTTGAATACACGGCCTGAGTTGATCTTTGCTTTGTTTTTGGGAAAGCTTCTTAGGGAGGCTACTTAGCCCCTGGAACCCCCAAATTTTGTCTGAATCTTCCAAAATCCAGATTTACCGGGTCCGAATCTTTGAGAGTTCACTATGTACAGTACAGTACTAGAGTCACCAGCTGTCGTAAAAATAATTTGGGCTTGTTGATGGACATTTTGCTAGAGTTGTCTTAATTGTTGCTTGAACTGCAGAAACACAGACTTCTCTGTTTGACTAACCATATCCCAGGCTTGAACCAAGATATCGTGTGTGCATGCGTGCATGTGATAAACTAGTTATGTTTTATTGGATAAATATTATAGAAATTCAAAACTCTACAAATCCGCAACATCCACATCATCTAGATGTGGATGCTCCTCGGATGCGGAAGTGACATCCATTTCTAATATATGTATACGTACACTCCCACCAAAAAGTATCGGTGCAGGGTGAGATCGACGAGTTCTGAAACGTTAAGTATACACTGGGATATGTCAGGAAGGTTGGTAAGTGTATCCTCATAACCCCTCCCCCCCCCACTAGGTGTTGCCATATGGCTGACAATCAGGGCTGCCAATATACGGCTGGAACAACTCGCCTTTCCCAATACCTACCGTCACTGGTCTCAAATTGTTCACACTACAGTATGCACCGATACTTTTTGTTGCGAGTGTACATGTATATACAGTACAGTAGGGGGCAGTGAAATTTTGCTCAAAGCTGCACTCTTCAGGCATTGTTCCTTATACATATCTAAGACTCCATGCCAAATTTGAAGCTGATATGTCGAGGTTTAGTCTGCCGCATTTTCTACTGAAATTTTTAAATTTACCTCTGACAGACACCAGTTCACAGAACCGGACAAGACTCCCTACACTGGCTGCCGCTTGTGACCGATACTTGATTAGTGATTATGCTGGAGCTGCCATTGCTACTGCCACCTTAACTGACTATGGCATTATCACAAAGGATGACAAGAGTCAGGTTATTGGACCACATAAGCTGCGGGATGCGAGACAAAAATACCGATTTAAGAGGCAAGAAATTGAGATGGCTAGTTTAGATAATTTGACGTCACTCTATTTTGATGGTAAGAAGACCGCCACTCGTGTGATGATAAAGAATGAGAAGACCGAGAAATGGAGTTCGAGGATGATGGTGAAAGATCATTATGTCATCATGGTTGAGCCTGGCAATGAATATCTCACACATGTGACTCCCAAGACTGGACACGGAAAGCAGATTGCCAAAACTATTCACGAGTTTCTGGTGGAGAAAAATCTAACCCAGCAGCCCATTGTGTGTGTTGGTTGTGATGGAACCAATGTAAATGTAGGATCAGAAAATGGAGTCATTCATCATCTTGAAATGTTACTTGGTCACCCGCTCCATTATTTCATATGTCAGCTTCACGGAAATGAGCTGCCTTTCCGCGCAGTTTTTTATCACTATGATGGTAAACCAAGTGGTCCTGAGCATTGGCGTGGTCCCATTGGAAAGCAGATCAAGGAGTCTTTGTCTGAGCTTCCAGTTGTCGCCTTCCAGCCAGTCAGTTTCCCTGATTTCCCTGTGTTTAATGATGAAGTGGAGAAAGATCTGTCCTGGGATCAGAAATACCTGTATAGGATTTGTAAAGGAGTTATCATAGGTGTTGTTGAAGATGACTTGGCTGCTATTGAGCCAGGTCCTCCCTGTGTGTCAAGGTGGAACACCTTATGGAGTAGAATCCTCAGGCTGTATGTAGCAACATCAAGACCCAGCCATGAGTTGAAAAGAATTGTCATTACAATAATAAAGTTCAGTGCTCCAATGTGGTTTTACATCAAGATACACCCTTACGTAACACACGGCTCAAGGAACGTATTCCAGTCCCTGCTATATATGAAACACCTGAATAGTGAAGAGGAGACGATAGTGAAGAAGGCTGTCCAGAGAAATGCATACTTCGCCCACACAGATGAACTTCTTCTTGGTATGTGTGCAGATGAGGACATGACTGTTAGAGAAAAAGCTGTCTCAATGATAAGAAAAATTAGAGAGGAGAATCAGCAAAAGGAAGAATGCACTGGCAGATCTGAAGAGGAGGAGGAAGATTCTGATGCTGCTGTTGACGAGAATTTGTTAAACTATACTGATGAGGAGGGTAAAGATGGAGATGGGAATGAGGATGTGCCTCCTGTAGTCAACATGAGAAAGGTGGTGACTCCGAAACTAAACTGGCAAGCAAAAAACTATCATTCCATGATTAACTGGAGGAATGAACTCAAGACTGAGCCTCCTTACATTGCTTCTCTGTCAAATCTACAGGTTAATGACATTCTTGAGACACCATTAGTGGTGCCCAAGTGGCCAAACAGCACTCAGGCGGTCGAGAGAGGCATAAAAGTGATGACTGAAGCTTGCACTGAAGTGACGGGATACGAATCGAGAGATGGATATATTAGGCAAAGATTATTGTCTAGGAAAATGATGCCAAGGTTCCGCACAAAAAAGAATTTCAATATGAACTTGTAATGATTTTCTATACGGTGTACCTGTAAAATAACATGTGAATTAAATCGATGTCACCCATGTAAAATTTATCATTATCCTGGAAAACATTAAATGACACCTAATTTTTGGTATACACTAAAAGTTGACAAAAAGTCGTTCGCGATGCGGCAGGGTAAGTATGCATGAAATGGCATGAAATTTTGCACAGGTGTTTGTTACAGCCATATAAACGATGCCTGAAAAGTGCAGCCTGCAACTCAAATAAAAGTGTTTTTTCCCTGCCCCCTACAGTACAGTATATATATGAACAATATTTTTTTTCCCATAAAAGAATTCATTACATTAATATATATTAATGCACAGTATTTAGAATTTTTCTTTATAGTTATTAATTTAAAAAAAATTTCAGACTGTGGTGGAAACATTACCAATGAAGAGTATGGAATTATACATTCACCACACTGGCCAAAGAAATATGATGGTCCAGACCCTGACCGTAAGGGAGGAGCATTTTCTTGTACCTGGTTTATTCACGTTCGGCCGTACCACAAAATTTTACTCTGGCTTCAGTCATTTTCTGTTGAAGGAAACCCAGCAGGTAAACAAACTTCATAATGGAATGTGAATTACATCTCTTACTACTTAGTAAATTTTAATTTGGTCTACAAATGGAACCAGCTAACAGTAACTGTAAAGGTAATGTAGGTCTGGTTAACCATCAAGCACATATTATATACTGTATGTACCTACATTAGTCTAGAAACCTTAGGTAACTGTGGAGGTAACATTTGATCATCAAAATATAATTCTAGTTAACTTTACAGAAAAGATTTTCTTATCCTAAAATAGTTCTACTTAACTATATAAGTAACATTCCTTTCATCTAACTCAATTCCAGCAGTGATGTATGAGGGTAGTTAAAAGGTTTATGGACTGGCCTGGGTGTATAATAGAAAGGCAGAACAACAAATCATATTTGTCAGTATAGTCTTCCCTGACTTCAGTACACATAAAATACTTGTTCTTTAAACTTACTATACCACTATACCAGTCTTGATAGGAATCCTCTGACTGCTCCTCAAGCCTCACTTCAGTAACCTACTTCAGCTGATCATCATCATGAAAGCTGCTGCCTTGGACATGGGACTTCAAGTTTTGAAATAGACATTTGGTTGTTTTGTCATTCAAATGCTCAATTCTGCCAAACTCTAATTTTTTTCATATTGTTTAAGCTCTCCCTCTGAAACAAAATATTGTATCACATTTAAGTAACTGAAATAAATGCATAAGCATTCAACTTTGTTACTAAGAAATTAGAATGCGGCCTTATTGCTTGACCCCTGAAATGTAAAACCTTTTGACCACCTATTGTATAGGTATTGTAATCCTACGTGTAATTTTTTTAATTGTTTCTGTTTTTTAATATTAAACTGCATACAGGTATTTGATATTTTGCATTGTATATACTTACCAGTGAATTTTAATTAATCAAAAAGAAAGAAAAGTTGTTGATTCATAATGTATGTATTTCACAGAGAGAGGATGTCCAGCAGCTGTCGTTCGAGTGTGGCCAGATCTGGATAAAGTACCAATCGAGTTGTGTGGTGAAGGGCTGAGCGACGATGCATCTATAATAATCTCAAAATCTTCATTAATGAGGGTGGCCTTTTTAACTGCTGATAGAGCAGTGGGAGCAAAGGGATTTGAGGGCATATGGACAGAAATTCAGGATAGTAAGTGGCAGCTCATGACACATTTGATTGGCTAAATACAAAATACCTAATAACCCCTATATAACACCGCTCACTGTAATTAATTTATGACTAAACAATTACCAATAGCATGCATTATAAACTACCCCTACATTTATACTTCAACTCATTACCTTATACATAGCTATATGGATAGAAAACCCTACAACACTACTACTTCCAAAAGATATACTGGTACATGTACAGTACTGTACTCTATTCAAGTAACATCATGTCAAAGCCCTTTGCTTAGGTATGCTCAGTATCCTCTGTAAGCCCTTTGCATAGAGTTATCCTTTGTAAGCTCTTTGTTGTCTGCAGGAACAAAAGAAGCAGTCACCCCACTCTGTGTGTGTGTGCGTGTGTGTTTGTATGCGTGAGTGCGTGCACCGGAATGCTTGTACAGTATGTGGCATGTATAACCTTTTTAGGGAAGCCAAGCTTCAATTCAAGCATGAAAGTCGTTGGTCTTGTGTTAATGTGTTCCTTTCTGTGACCTTCCAGGATTAGCCTCTGTGGGGATGTGGTCTTTTGTTATTGTCTGATGGACCAATAAAGCAGTCATCTTTGTCTGTCTGTCTGTGTGGTCTTCCTTGATATCCAGTAAGAACTATAAGGGCTAAAATATTCATATATGGCTTGATAATTTCCCTAAAGGTTGCCAAGGTAAGGTTCAAATATGAAGGTTGCTTACCCTTAAAGTCTGTCTGTCTCTATAGATTCCTCAGTGTAGATAATTTGCTTCCTCAGGGATGCAACACTTGTTTGGCAAAAAGCCTGCTGTATATTAAATATGCACAAAGGAAATGTAAATAAGATGTGACTGGAGGATACATAAGTAAGGTGGGAATGGTGATTTTTATTTGTTGAAAGAAAAGAAAATACCGGTACTCCTGAAGTTGCCTGTTGAATTAAGTCATAATATAATTAAACAATTGTATTAGATGGGTTTTTTTCAATTATATTATTGAATAAGAATTGTTTATTAAAAGGCAACTCCCAAAGAATATTACTTTTGTAATTAAAAATCATTGGTTTCAAGTGGGATATTATTGACAAAAATTTTACACTGGTGACTGATATCACATGAGGAAGGGAGGGGAGAGATGAACCCAGAGTAACTAGTTGCATATACAGTACAGTACAGTATACTACTGCAATCATAGAATTGATTCATTCTTTAAAATTTTTAGTAACATTTGTGACTGATTGTTATTAACTCATCTGAATTAAGAAAAAAAGCACCCTATTGCTCGTAAATGCATTGTCATAATTTTTCATATGACATGTACTGAATGTCTAAAAGACTTTTGACAGCCACTTGATGGGTGTGTGGACTCTGGAATCGATAACTGGCCATGATGCCTTGGATATATAATATACTACGTCTTGTCAAGAACTATATACAGTATAAGGTGAATTTGTTTAACATAATTATTTCTAAGTTGCAATATACTCCTTAATTCCCATATGAACTTAATGTAAAGTTGAAGCAACATATTTCATTTAAGTGTAGCCTCAGTGTGATCAAAGTTATGCACATGGAGTACCATATATTTTTTTAAAAAATTTCTGGGCCTCTTGTTATTGTTCATGTTTTGCTGTATGCCCAGTGTCAGAGGAATGTTAGTTTCAACCCCTCCTTTAATCTTTAATTGTTTTTGTTTTTTTTACTAAACAAAAAATATTGATCTTTTTTTTTTTTAGAAAAAAATTGTTTTTTTTATTCATTTCATTAATATACTTTTTAATTGTACAAAAATGGGAGGTCTGAAGTTGAATTCTAAACAATTCTAAACAAGTGATCACATTCAATAGACAGTAATTGTCTACGGGTACACTGAAAAATTGGTGAGGCACCCACACCTACAGACAGTGAAAGTTAGTGTTCTTCATATTTGAACTTGTTTTTGGTAATTTTAAGAGAGAACTTCATGCATAATATGAATCTTGGTTCTTCTTGTAGAACACAGAAAGACGCATTTACAAATCAGTAGTGATGAGTGCTTTAATTTTCCTGGAGTTGGTGACAAATTGTGAAATACATTACTGGATAAAAAAAGTACAAACACCTGAGGAATGTGATGTGTAAATGGTTGCCTGTCAAGTTTGTGTACGGTATATGGTACAGGGTGTGTTGGAGGTAGAAAATGGGTGCACAAGCTGATTAAGGAATGAAGAATATTTATTATAGATAGTGCAAAGTGGGAAAAGTAATAGTAAGTAAAGAATTTGATCTAATGGTAAAGGAAGTTTTTAATTTTGTCTGAATTGGGAAGATCCATGGTAAAAGTAAACAAGAAGTGAGTAAAGTTAGATGGCATCTGATATACCGTAGCAGGAGTAGTGTTTAGTACTAATAAGACGCACAAAAAGTTCACTAGAATGTAATGACCATGAGAAAGGTCTGTTGTAAAGTTTAGAATACATTGGTCTAAACTGTATAAGTTGGTGTAAAATGTAGGAGGAGCATATGAGGTGTAACTGGAAGTCTAATAGAGACTTGAGGATGTGATAAATAGTATATAGGCATAGTCACAGAAGAATTTGGAGAACTTGTAACTAAATTAGTGGGGATAAGCTAGACAGACGTTTAGGGCTGTGTTGTGGAATTGGAGTACCATAGAACATTTCTAACAACAATAGGAATGAGTAAATGACAACAAATGAAAGGAGTGTGTCTCTTCTTGATTTTAAGTCCCCTGTAGTATTACTGGAAAGGGCCTGAAAAAAATAATGCGAGACAAATGGTACAAAGATGGCATGAATACTCAGCAGATTCCTAACTGGAGAAATGATAGTGTTACTGTTTATTCAGAAAAAAATTATCAAGTCTTTATTTGACCTCTTTATAAAACTCAGAACTGCAGCAAGGTACAGGAAATTTTGGTCGAGGGCAAAGATGTTAGCTTTTGAACAAACCCTTGAATGTATTTCTTGAAATTATAACTAAATGAGGTTCCTGGATACTAATTCAGCTTTTCACCATATGCTTATCTGGGTAAGACTGAAACTGGCAAGTCACATCACATAGAATATCTTCTTTACTTTTATTTTTATCCTCTTCGCCAATGATCGGTTCGTTAGCCGCTTGGGCGGTCGGTCACATTTGTTATGCACTGCTGGCAAGTTCTCGTACTCTTTGCCATTGGTCAGCTTGCTGGCTGTTTAGGCAGTCTGCCATTTCTCTGTTACACACTGTTAAACTGAAGGTTAAGGTCACTTATATTTAAATATTGCTGGAAAATAAAAGAAATTAGTACAGCTCCTCCCCGACTTACGACGGGGTTAGGGACCCAAATCCAGGTTGTAAGTCGAAATGGTCGTAAGTCGAAAATGCTTAAATAATACATAGAAAATCTAAAATGGGTGTCTCTTTTTCTTCTCAGCACCACAAATCTCTCACCTTTAAGCTTGCCAGCCATTTTAAAGTGAATTACAAACGAAAATTTTGTCCGTACACAGCGCAATCACTGACTTTGGGACTCGAAAATACGTAATTTGACACAATTTTGGTACGACTGAGGCAGGTTGTAAGTGCGGGTGGTCGTAAGTCGAGTAGGTCGTAAGTCGGGGAGGAGCTGTATTTTAAGATAAAAGAAATGTACTCAATAATGTGTTGCTGGAAATATTAGGTGTGCAGCATTTGAATGACGGTTGCACAACCATGCAGCTTAGAGGGAATAGTGATGATGATGACCTTAAAAATTTGGATCTCTTGGAAGCAAGAAATGGCTGGATTTATGAATTTGTTGATTTTTTGAGGGTCACTTGCCTTGGAAAGTTTCAAGCATTTCTTTTGAAGTTCTTAAGTTAAATTGCAATTCTTTGTTTACCTTATTTTCCTAATGGCCATCCAAACAAGAGGTGGCCTTGTCGAGGGAAGGAGGTCAGTGGCCTGTGTAGGTTCCTTCCATGGTTCTTGTTAGCTATGTCCACGGTCATCCTGAAACCCGGTACTGTTCTCAACTCCATAGCCTGAGCTGATAGATTGCTCCACAGATCTGCCACCTTCTTTGTAAGGAAGTACCTCCCCACGTCTGCTCTGCATGACATCCTGGCGAGCTTGAAGCTGCATCCCCTTGTGTTAATGGTGTGTGACATTCAGTTTAAGTCTGCAAAGTTTGAGAGGAGTTCCTCTACAAAAATAATAATACAGTATTTGTTTATACAGTATTTGTACTTAGAAAGAAAAAAATACCTTGCCAGAACAGTGTATAAAGTGTAAATATGAAAGAAGCATACTAACTGCTGCAGTCATTTTCCACACCTGCACAGGTTAACCATTTTTATCTAATGGCAGCTCTCCAGTCTTTTGCAGCTTCCCTCATCAGGTGTTTATATATGAAGTCATTTATCACAACCTCTCCCCATGTCATTCTTGGGCTCCCTTTCACATTCAGACTTCATTCATCTCTCGACCCAATTGGCCTCGTCAACAACTCTCTCCACATGCCCAAGCCATCCCAGCCTCCCTCTTGGCAAAAACTGGCCAATACAGTACTGTACTCTCAATTGTGTTAACTATCAATGTGAGTGATGTAATGTGGGGTCTCCCATTCTGTTGACAGCTGGGTGGGTGGTGTGAGGGGGTATCAATCTGCCCAGATCACTAAAGGTTTGAAGGTTTTGGAAATCGACGGAGTGGAGTAGACCTGCTTAATTTTCCCTGCACTCTACTTCATAGTTCAAATGGAACCCTCATTAATCCCACGCTGATGAGTGATAACAGTTGCATTTATCCACGTTCAAGTTCTTCCATAATTTTAACTTTATCCTCCAAATTGAGCCTCTTGCACGACTTCTTGGAAGGAGTTTCAAGGCACTTTGCAGGCATCTTGGGGTTTCTCCGAGGGTTAGGGCTCGTTGAAGAATGTGGCACTTTAGTTCATCCCTGACAGTGCCGTAGGGCCGTGGACAAATTGCGCGTGGGGAATGAAACGCAAAGCCTGCCCCCTCGGAGCGTCACTACCCTTTGACGGATATGCTGCATCTGGTCTACTGATTCTTTATAATAAAATGGGTGTACAGTACTTATCATAATAAATGGAGGCAATTTATGTCGCCGCGTTATTGCAAAATCTTCATAATACGTGTACTGTAATTGCGTGACTCTACTATACGTATTCTAAAACATATATTAAGTTCTAAATACAGTATTGATTATGGGTGACACTTATCATTTTACCTAGTGCAAGCTCCCAAAATCACAAAATACTGCCATACGTGAACCCAGCTGACAACTGTTTATATCAAGGCCTTAGACGGTGGTCTGTTCAAAATAGTGTTTTGGTGACATTCCATGAGTACTGAGTATTTTGTCTAAAGCTGTGTGTATTCTGAGACTAAGATAATTGATATCTGGACTTCTGAGGTTCTACTTCAATTCATTTGGAATTGTATCACAACACCGGTAAAATTAAAAAAAAATTTCAAGCATCATTATCTCCAAGTTAGTGAAGAACTGAAAATAAATGTATCCATGTATTGTCATAAATCAAGGTGGGGTATGATACATTGTAGGTAGGTAAATCATTGCTAATTTGAATTACTTTGATAGGAAATATAAATATACGTTGCTGAATTTATTTTGTGTAAGATATTGAATACTCACTGATTAGGAATTAATTTTAAAATACTGTACAGTATGTTTATAAAACCCTTGTCATATCCAAGTTTCTGAGAAAGACCTGATGAATACAGTTGTTGCCACTAACGGATAAAAATATTGAGTCTCACTAGCACCAGCGTATTTCTTATTTATCATGGCTCGGCCTTCAAAGTCCCATTTTATGTTCAACTCACTCATTTCCAGTCATTAAGATGAGCTGGACAGAAATCATCAGACAGCTAAGTGTTTGACTTGCTACAGTCTTAGGTGTTAATAAAGTGAGGGTGTGTGTTACTAGTGTACAGTACTGTATTGCAAATGTACGTACTGTATACTGTATATAATTGATAGCATAATATGAGCTTACCGGTAATTGGCAGGTTATTTTGGGGGACACCTTCTTGGCCTATACCTGTACAATGTTAAAGGAATATTTATGTCCAGATTTTAATTTAAAAAAAAAGGTTCATTAAGAGGTTGGTTTGATGATAGTCAGTTCTCCTATAATGTGAAAGTTACATTCATGGAGAAATTTGCACTTTAATAACCGTCAATTCAATGGGAATTAAGGGATTAGGAGGTAGCAGGTTTAAGAACACCAACATGACTGAACATATTTCTTTACAACAGTTATGTTTACTCTATCGCGTTTTATCCAATTCGCATCAGCGTTGTAAAAAAAAAATTCTCTAATGCAAGGGCTCCTCATTATACATTGGGATGTGTTCCAGAGAAAGGTGACTTTTAGTGAAATGTTATATAATGAGGAATTTTTCCCCATAAGAATTGATGTAATTAGGAATGTGTGTGTTCCAACATGTACAGTTATATTCCTTCAAAACTCAGGATGTGTTTCTAGAGAGAGAGCTTTCAGCAAATCAGCTTACAACAGGGTCACTATAACTTGCTGTATAGTACAGTATTTGATATGGAGATATGCTCCTCACAACATTATTTGTTACCTATGAGTGGTACATATTGGCTTGATTTAGCTACTTGTACACCTAGACCGCTGATTAATGAATAAATCAGGACATATGCTGAAACATGCATTATAACAGAACTAACTGTGCACTGCTTATCCCACCTAAGTATCAGTCATGTAATATTCTATTTCAAGGGATCAATAATGTTCTCTTTCGAATGGCATTTTTTGTACATGCTATGACAATTGAAAAGTGCACTGTTGCGGGTGCAAAATGTATGACTCGCTGCTTTCAGCCTTTCGCAGGAATTTCTGTATTGATTAGGTACTTTTTTTAAACCACCTATGATGAGAAAGTGAAGTTGATATTCTGTTTAGCTCCAGTTACATATACGTATAGGTCTTGGGGAATACATGTACCTGTATTGGGTTTTCAATCTGTGGATTTATTGACTACCGCATATAATAAATGGGGTTTCAAGATCATTTCCCGGTATTAATAAGGATCCTGTTATTAACCACTTCTTTTACTAAGTTTTTTGGCATTTGAATTATTGAAGATTATATTCTTAGCTTGCTATTTAAATTTCAATTATGAATTGCTTTTGCAGATAAGAACAGTTTGTGCCTCTGAATCCATCCCTAAGTGAAATGAAAAGAGTTTTCCTTTTTTACTGCCCCCACCCTTCATTAAGCTATGTATGACACACTTTTAGTGATTTTAAATAAGTTTTGAATACCCTCTATGTAAGAAGGTTATTAATTTTTCAGTAATCAAAAAACTAAATTTGTTGCATGAAATCTTAACACTTGCTTGTTGTAATTTTCTGTAAAATGTTTTAACGTGCAGTTGTAAAACTGGTAGAATTGTACAAAAATCCCTATTAAATGATTGCATGAGCCCTATAATAATATACTTTTAATAAAGATTAAATCTTTAATTAAGGTTTTTAATAAAAATACAGTTTTTATCAGTATGCCTCATTCACAATCTTTTGATAGAGCTTTGTCAAGTTATGCCTACTAACCTATCGGAAGATTTTGAATGGATCATCAAAATGGAATATTGCTTAGAATAGTGCAGTGAAGTACATCTCCTCCACTGATTTCCTCCCTTCAGGCCCAAAATGTGAACAGTTCCTGTGCTCCAAAAACAACTTCTGCATATCCAAGAATCTTCGATGCAATGGAGTACCAAATTGTGGTGTGGGTGATCTCTCAGATGAAGACAGTTGTAAGTAGAGGGATATATCAGGTTGGCAGAACATGACAAATACCCGTAATATATTCTACCCATTATTTCTACACACTTGTGTAAGTAATTCTACATTCCATGCATTTTACATTATTTTCATACGTTGCGCTTGATTTTTGACGCAAATAATTTCATAGTTGGTTAGTGGATGAATCACTGAATGGTATTTAGTCTGTTTAACATGTCACCACACAATATACATAATTCTGATAATTTCAAGATCATTGAATGATATTCCTTTTAACACTATTACTTTATGTACTTTTAGGAAGGTATCATTAAAACAGTCATTGAATATTAATTTTTTATCACTACAGTAATTATGGTTCTCACCTTTAATGCCTTTTTTCTTCTCCTTAGGTGTAAAAGATCCAGTAGTAAATGTGTTAATGTTGGTTGGTGTTGGCCTGGGCATCTCCTCAGTCCTCCTCATTGTGGTATGCATCTGGTGCCACCGTAAACATGTGAAGCGGCGGGAGGAAGGCGCGCTCCCTCATCATGTGCACGTGTGTGAACGCGGGGCACGATTTGCCTCAGTGGACAGTGTAGGCCACAGCGGTATTAACGTACATCATGTTTGCCCTCTTGACTCTAGCTGTCCTCTTTGTGTAAAAAATAATGTGTAGAAGATAGGATGACTGTTATTTTGCTCACTACTGTGATTGAATTAATAATCTTGAAAACATGAGATTTCAGCTGAGTGAAGGTGCTATGTGAAATGAATGATCTTATTCTTGGGTACAACTATCCACTACTTTAACTTTTGCTTAGAATGTTATACCTGTACTGTACTTCCATTATTACAACATTATAATCTCAACCAAGACAATTACTCTAACATAATAATGTACAGCTTACTAACACTTGAACATGTTGCTTAACCCTGGAACGCATTCGATGTTTTGTTGTACTTTACCACATTCGTGGTCACTATTGTGCACCAATTTTGGGGAAAATAAAAAAAAATACCTAGAGTTGTTTTTATTAATTTACAAGCTATGGACTTAAAATCTAATCTTAATACTGTACTACAGTCAGAAAGAAAAAAATGAAAAAAACAAAAAATGCAATTCGTCATGGGTAACTAAAGACAACTAGTAAAAAGGGGGTAATTTCCCAACACAACTTTAAAGTTAAGACTATAGCTATGAGTAGGATGCCTGGATTCTGAAGTCTGTCGACCAGTGGGCAGCGAGGGGGTGTGGGGGGAAGCAGGCCGCCCCGCAGCCTCCTGGCAGCACGACATCTTGTGGGCGGAGCTGTCAAAGAAAGGTCATTTGTTCACTAACTCAAAAACGACTTCTGTGCAATATATTTTTTTATAAATATTTTTTTTTTATAAATGTAAATATTATTTATAAATGTAAATATTATTTATAAATATTACATGTAATGAATATTTCATTCAAAAAAGGACTGGAGATTATTACTTACTTGTCAGCAATGCAGCAGCTGATGCACTGAGGGAGGGTGTTGCAGCCACAAAGTGGTTTCTTGCAGGTGAAGCACACATAGCGGCTGAGTTCCAGGGTTAAGCTTGATCAAACTATGCATATACACAATGGTTTTTATGTTCCTACTGCACATACAGGGTGGGGGGGGGGGGATGTTGAGTTTCATCTGTCCCTCTGTGTATTCATCCTGCCTAAGGTTGTCAGCAGGATTATACAAAAATTATGTGGTTAAGAGCAATGAAAGTTTGTAGCTTTCTTTATGTCGTTTTTTGGAATATCTTGTATTTTCAAGCTGACTTGTACACCACTGGGGGCATGTGCGCTCCACAAAGATAGTTCTTTATAGTTTGTAAGGTTTTTAAAATTTTATGGTATTTGTTGCCTCATGGGTGATCTTTTGAGCACCCTTTAGACAGCTTGCAGTTTCCTAGGAGGCATGCAATATTTGGTAGCAGGGTACACTGTCCATGTAGACAATGTTTTGCTGCAATTGTTGATGCAGAGAGCCAAAAATTACTAACCAATGGTAATTACTGGTTCCTGTGTCTCCTTATTGAGTAGTTCCCACATTAAATTACCCAGACTTCCACACTTGACCAGCTGCCATGGGATATCAGATAATTTGTGTTTTTTACTTTCTCAGTTGTGCAAGAGCCATTTTTATCCTTTCTCTTTTGTCAAGTGTTTATAGCTGTCCCATGAGAACAAGACAACCCACAATACAACATGCTCACTACCCTAGATTACATTCCTAGTTTCATGATGAGCAAAGATATGTAGACCATCAATATGACATCATAGGCTGTTTCCTGTAATTGGAGGAAATAACCGAACATGACAATATGTACGGAATTTGAACAGCAGTGAGTTTTACAGGGAGTGTTTGGTCTTCTGCTTCTGATTACAATATGTCACTGCTAAGTCCATAGTTTCCCTTCTGTATTCTTCCTTTTCCCCAGTTATTATTCTCTCCTTTCTCCTCACACCTCCCTCTTCAGGGGCAGAATCCAGGGGGTCCGGACCCCCCCTTTTCATCAGAAAATTACAATACATTTTCTTGAATGCAGTATTGTACTCAGGCATTTTTGTATAACAAAAAGTAATTACTGTTGACCTCAGAATATCTCTTAATATCAAGTGCACATGGCTTCTAAATGGCCTCAAAATGCCCATGATTTTGTTCAAATTTCAAGATTTTTTCTGGGGAGGGGCACTTACAACCCCTCCCCCCTCCAGCTGGGTGGGCTTACTGTGCTCACCATGTTCCTCAACCCACAACTTCTTGGACCCGACCTCCTCCCCCCCCCTTTTTTATATTCCTGGATCCGCCCCTCCTCTTCTATCTCACTCCACCCAACCCTCACTGTTATTTCTTTCCTAGCTAGGGAAGGGGGACATCATCAGTGGACATGAGCTAGGAAAGGGGGACATCATCAGTGGACATTAGCTAGGAAAGGGGGACATCATCAGTGGACATTAGCTAGGGAAGGGAGACATCATCAGTGAATATTAGCTAGGGAAGGGGGACATCATCAGTGGACATTAGCTAGGGAAGGGGGACATCATCAGTGGACATTAGCTAGGGAAAGGGGACATCATCAGTGAATATTAGCTTGGGAAGGGGGACATCATCAGTGGACATTAGCTAGGGAAGGGGGACATCATCAGTGGACATTAGCTAGGGAAGGGGAACATCATCAGTGAATATTAGCTAGGGAAGGGGGACATCATCAGTGGACATTAGCTAGGGAAGGGAGACATCATCAGTGGACATTAGCTAGGGAAGGGAGACATCATCAGTGGACATAAGCTAGGGAAGGGGGACATCATCAGTGAATATTAGCTAGGGAAGGGGGACATCATCAGTGAATATTAGCTAGGGAAGGGGGACATCATCAGTGGACATTAGCTAGGGAAGGGGGACATCATCAGTGGACATAAGCTAGGGAAGGGAGACATCATCAGTGGACACGTCGATCCTTGAAGGCCTTTAACTCTGAACAGAAATTCTAACACAACTGTTTCCGACTGATTCTGGAGTGGTTAACTTGATAAATTGTTGAAAAAGATTCCAAGCTTTCTCATATTGCATAGAAGTTTGGGGTCTATGACCTGCTAATACTTGGTTAGCTATATTGGAATTAACCAACAACCTATTTAAACTCCTTTGTATTTAAATACATCTTTTTTATACTGTATCTGGTATTTAAATAAAATTTAAAATATTAATGCCAATCTCTGCCAGTACGCTCAGAGCAACTGCTGCTCTTGAACTACTGTGTTTTGGCATTACTAGCGTCAGTCTACATCCAACAAAGAGCTTGATCCTGGAAGTGGTGAATGTTGTGTTAGATTGTGTTATACTTTGCAGTACTGGGGAGTAGCTATGATTAGGCCTCATTGCTTTGAGGGGAATTCTTCCAAGACAGGATACTATGACTGGTTTTATGATATAACATCTTAATGTTTGTTTAGTAAAGTTTTCATACAGGTTTACAATTGGATAAGCATGTTTATAAATTGTGCAGTTTTGCAGTGCATCATGAATATAGACAATGTAGGTACCCGTATATGGTGCACGTAGGCCGTGGGAGTATACAGTTTCCCTTGTGCCGTGAAATTGCAAGTAAACAACACTGGTAAACAGTAAGGCAACTTGACCTAGGATAGCTGACAAAGATGCCAGGTGCTTATTTCCTTCATGGATTGAAATTTCTTGAAGTCTTTTGTTGAAGCAATCAAAACCCATAAAACAAGGGATTGAAGCATGAAATCTCATTTCATGGCTGAGAGGGCATAACAAATGACTTGGAATTTCTCTCTCCTCCCTTGATGGGGTAGGTGTGTGTGATTTACGTGTATGACTGAGGGTGACAAGGCATGTTGATTTATTGTCTTTTTGAGGAAACTATTCCATCAGGGTATATATCAGTTAGGACTGGGTCTAACAACAGAGAAGTCTCTTGGGTAGGACAGGGAGATCCTTTCAGCCATAAAATGGGATTTCCTTTGTTTTATATAGTTCCCAGGCACTTTAGCAGTCGTCCTTTCACACTTCTATGCATCAACACTTTTATATATTGCCAACCTTTTCCTTCAATACTCTGATACCAGATATTTTACCAAATCAGTCAATTCCTTCCTCCTCTGTTGTTACTTAATCTACTTCAAGAACTTTTTCATATATCATATTCATTTTAAATTTTTGATAGAGCTTCCCTTAACATTCTTCCTTAAATCTAGTTCCTTATGTAAAGCAGCAGTCACTCCCACTGTTTACTTGTTAGGGCTTCCTCAACCACACTCTCCTTTCTAGCTCAACAATACAGCATCACCCAACACTCATCAAGCATCACAAATCAGTCTCCAGTTGTTTAGCTTGTCTTGTCCAAGATCAGTGAATGTAAGTTACCTCTATACATATAATGGTTAATTGATTGTGATTATTGAGTCATGTAAGCAGGCCTGAGATTTTAACATTAATCAGTGAGTTAATGGTATTTTCACTGTCATGTTAGTGATTTTGGAGGTCAGGTCAACTTTAGTTTAAAAAAATTGAGGCCATAGGAGTCCAACCTGACATTTTTTATGAAGATGTTTATTCAAGAGGGAAGATTAATTTTAACTCATGTTTGTTTATTTATTTATCTGGTCTTTGTCCAAAGTGAGCTACAGGCAGACCCTGATTTATGAGATGGTTGCCATTACACCCCCCCCCCAAAAAAAAAGTAACCAAAAATTTCCTAACATTTCTTCAATTTCAAAATCCACACTTTATCTTACAACTCTATGCCTTTATTGTACTGCACACAATTAATATATGGAATTTAAAAACATGATATATAACTTTTTATTTCATTTTAATTAGACAGTTTGGACAATAAAGCAACTGGTTCAATGACTCTGATGGTGTGAGTGATGAGTCACTTGTTCTCACATGAGTTTGAAGTACAGTAATAGTAGGAAAATGATGATACATTGAAAGCATATTTGTAGACTTAATAACATTGTGAGTGTTAGAGAATAATGAAATAAGTTAGTAAAATAAGTAAGCATACCAGTACTGTAGTAAAGAAACTGCATTATGTTAGCATATTTTCATTACCGTATTACAGGGTACTATTTTTTTATAATTTTGGGTTTTTGCTCATAAATCAAAGCCTGGGACTTTTTTCTTCTCATTATGATGAATGTTAAAAAATTTAATCCTGTAAATGTTGGTCTGTCTGTATTTTCTGCTTAGAACTTTCATATATAGATTTAATAGAAGTAATTTTTGCATCATCACTCATTCTTTCAGAGGTATTTGATTTATTTTTGTTGTAAAGAAAAAAGTCTTCACCAATACTAACGTACTCTGCATACCCCATCATTTCAACCTGTGTAAAAGTGTTATTTTTATTCTTAAAGAAGTGAACTGAATATTTTGGTACAAAGCACTTCTATGCCTCTACAAACTTTTCAGTTAAGTCACTCATATTCTGTAATGAAGTGAGTTTTTATATTGTAATCACAGTTGAAAACTAGGCTAATGATTTTAATATTTATCTTGTTTACAGGGTGATCGCAGCTTGTCTCCAGTTCTGGGAGCTCGACAGGCTCACCACCTCAGCCGTACCTCCTTGCGTACGGAAACAGTCGTCTGAGACTACGCCCAGCACCATCCTCCTTGTGGGCTAACGGCCTCAGGGGGTGGTGCTGAAGAATCTCGAACACCCACACCTACTGCTTCGTCGCACCACGAGCTCCTGATGTACTGAGCTGGGTGAATCCAAAGGAGGGTTCTGATACACTTCCAATGGACCTCAATATCTTCAAGTCCACATATATTCAAAACTAGAGACGTATCCAGAGGTTCATCATACCTCAAAATCTTGGATTAAAAAGGTGATATTGTTAGCTTTTTTAACAAATACTGCAGCAGTACATCAGACTTAGAGAAATAAGAAAGGAAAGTTGTAGACCTATTACTGTTATTGATCTGCTATCTTCTGTTTTGTAGTGCCATCATAAACACTGGATTACAAGAGAAAATCTTATACCTCTATTTTTCACATGGATCAACTGCTACAATGAAAATGCCAAGCCTCTGTTTAAAAGGCTTCTTACAGGTGCTAAAATGAGTGGTGCGACTACCAGCTGTGGTTTATGATGCAATGGCAATCAGTAATTTTATTGTACCCATACTAAGAAAAATATGACTTTCATCCTTAGACACAAAGCTTATTGAAAGTTTCCCATGCCATACAGTGACAGTTAGTACACTGCAAAGTTATCTAATTTATACAATGAAAATTGGAATGCCAACATTCCAGTTTTTTCTCCAGAATGGAAAGTAAACCTAACACACAAACTCCATAATTGGAAGCAGCAGCAGCTAGATCCCAATAGGAAATGGGAGACTGCTCCTTTACGCTTTAACTTTGTTAACGGAAAATATTTTTTGTAATGCTAGATTTCTGAGTGACAAATCAGTTGATTGCTTTTGAACTTGTTCATGACAAAACCCTTTAAATCCAATCATAATGGTGACAAATAAGCATTTAGTGATGCTTAACTGTGTTACCTGAAGCGCATTACCTGGTATTATGGTGCTCATTTGGTTATGAGATCACCAATAACACTTTATAGACGTGTGCTCAATATCAGATAGGATAAGAGACAGTCTAGTTGTTGTGATGTTGACAGATTATTTGTTCTAACCCCTTTTCTTGTTCATAAACTGATGTTCAGAGACCTGTTGCCCTTTTCTGCACATCTGTTTCATCTGTGCTTTTTGCAGTAGTGAGGCATGGTAGTCTCCTCTTTGCTTGTAGACTCATTATGTATATTCCATTTCAAAGATATGGCTTTGTGCCTCACTACTTGTTTAGAACTAGTCGGTTTCATCATGGGTTATGTTAACTTTGTTTGAAATTGGTCATATTATTTTCCTGGTCTAAATCTGTTATCTAAATCTCATTTTGCAACAATTTACCAGTTGGTAATTCTTCATAGATTAAATATGACATCTAGAAAAATTACCACTGCCTTGCAAGTTGAGTCATTCCCTGAACCCACATGTAAACTCCAGCTATTGGAGTTTAGACAATACCATTTGGACCCTGGCAGAGTCAGGTGACCAGCTCATGGCAGAAGCTGCTGGTATAATTACTATGGTCTTCCCCCTGACACGGAATCACGTGAGCAAGGATAACTTATTTGATTCCTGGCCCAGGTCTTCACAAACTTAAAGCGGGTTTATTGGTGTAAGTGGCACAAATGTGGACTGGCTGCTATGTGATGTCAACTGGAACAATAAGTTGGACAATAACAATAATTAGGAAGTGCAATAATAATCTACAGCTACAAGTAGTTGTCAGGATGTGCCAGCACATGCAGCAGAAAAAAATGTTTGCTAGCATTTTTTGTACAACTTTGTTCATGTTTTTACGTGAGTTTTGTTGCAATAACTCCCATACCATATGAATGTTATGACAGGAAAGAAAGGAAATTCTTGAAAGTACAGTAGTAGATAAAATTCAGATTTTATATGAAATTAGTCAAACTTCTTTCATAAAAATTATTATTATTATTATTATTATTATTATTATTATTATTATTATTATTATTATTATTATTATTATTATTATTATTATTATTATTATTATAATGGGAGTTGCTCGCTTCCAAGATTTCTTTGCAAAATACAATGTATAACATCTAATTGTTGGGATGATTTAAAACATCAAAATAATGTGCCCATGGTTTTAGTATCGTGTTTAGCGAAGAAGACATGGAAGTTGAGTGGAGTGATATGGCAGAAAACAGCAAGATTTCTTTACCTGTGGGTTTTCAATTTCTTTGTATAATTTTAGCACAGCAGGCTTGAAGATATTTGGAGTGTTAAAAGAACTCTTAAAAGATTATGCTGATTGAGTGTATGTGTGAGTGTATATACAGCAACAACCAACTGCCCCAGTGTTTCCCAGCTTCATAGCTGTGTTACACCTATGTAAGATACTGTAATAATCAGTCTGTCTCAGTATGTCTCATAGCATCAAATAAAGAAGTTTCCAGATTTCTTTCTAAAACAGATTCTCATTTCTCAACATTTATAGGTGAGCCAATCATTTGCATCATAGAAAAATTTTTCATTCTCTAACAGAGTTTTTCTCATATAAGCTGCCATATCATTGAGTTACATGTTTGGTAATTTCATACTTAGTTGGTAACTTACACTACCAGTATGTTGCATTTTTATATGACTTGTCTATTTTTATATTTTATTAATTTTTATTTTCACCACTTCAGCAAAGTAGCAGTTCTGATGATTAGTCTTTTCTTTGTTATGTCCTTCATTGTCCAGTGTTAGTTCAAGAGGAAACTGGAGTACCTGTACCTGGAGAAAACCTGTATGTTTGGTAGGATCACACTGGCTAATACTCTTCCAACATCTGACTCGGGCCAGGATTGAACCTTGGACACACTAATGAGTAGCACACATTCAGTGGTGGATGAAGAACTGGAAAAAGTTTCTTGGGTAAAATTACTTTTACTCTGAGACAAACATACTAAAATAAAAGTACTGTAAAATGTACTCTGGGTAATAATACCTTTACAATGAATTTTGTTTAAAGAATTAAAAGCATCATAATGTAGTGCCAATGCAGTACACTGTACTGTAATCAACGAATTAGATAATTCTGATTCACTATAACCTGTAGGTGAAAAGATCCTAATAATAATAATAAACTAGGTATAGTACATCTGAAATAAATTACATCAATGTTTGCTTAAAGAAAAAGAATCGATAATTTTATACCGGTATTCATATACTGTATGCAGCATAGCACTACATAATAAGGAATATAAACTGATTATGTAATTGCACAGTACTGTATACAGTTTATTGTTTATTGCACATACTTTTCATTTAACCTTAACAAAGCCCCATTGTGGGTGAAGATCAGTTTGACACAACTGAACAATCTCTCACATGCTGCTGCTGATGGTAAGAGTGTGTTGAGAAGTAAATATAAAGTCATTATAGAGAGTTTTCCATGTCATGTGCTCATTAATTAATGATTTGGAAAATATGACACTCGCTGCCCCCAAAAGATAAGTAATAAAGTAAGAGTTCTGATAATTGTCAAAATGTTACTCGAATAGAAGCATCAAGAAGAAAAGTTACCTTCAAGTAACTGATTTATTAAAAAAGTCACTTGAGTGACTTAAATTTGTTACCGTCCACTTCTGTATGTAATTATCAGTACATTATTGTTTGTGTACCTGCACTGCCTATGTATATTGTATACCTGCACTGTCTATGTATATTATATATCTGCACTGTCTATATATACGATACAAATTGAATCAGTGTAAACTTGTATGACAATTTTAATGTATACAGTATCTATCTACAGTACAGTTGACTATTAGTTGAACTTTGCTTCCAAAACGTTTCTGCTACTGCTTTACCTCATGTCCTCTGCACTTCATTATTTTAAGACTTTCGGTAACAGGTCAAGCGAGGTTACTACCGCATGTTAAGGCAGTGATGGCCCTCTCAATACATGTTTAGCACTGTGAGTTCACCCACATGCACTATCATTCATGACCAATTACAATAAATATTAATTTTCATTGGACCAAGAAAATTAAGTGATTTTAGTTTTGAGTGTTGGTGGTACAGTGGGAATGCACATGCCTCTCTACGGTGACCTGAGTTTGATCCTGGCCCAAGTCTAATGTGTGGTTTTCTCCGGGTACTACAGTTTCCTCCTATACTAACACTGGACCATGGAGGGATGCCCCTCACTACCAAACATGGCAGGTTTTTTTCAGGTATTATGGTTTCCTCTTGCACTAAAACTGGATCATGGAGGCTGACCCTCAATACCAAACATGGCAGATTTTCTCTGGGTGCTGCAGTTTCCTCTTGTACTAACACTGGACCACGGAGGAAAGCCCTCACTACCAAACAACATTTTCTCCAGGTACTACAGTTTCCCCTGTACAAACACTAGAAAATAAAGGTGGGCAAGATTGTATAGTAGCATATATTGGTGAGAGGAGTAGGATTTTATAATGTACAGGCAGTCCCCAAGTTACGAACATAAATCAGAACAATGTTAATTCCATAGGTTTGGTCAAAGCACAACCCTGCCAATACATAACAGCAATAATATCCCATACATAACAAATAATGTAAGTATTTGTAAATACTGTACCGTAAATAATCAGGCATAATATGGCATCACAAAAATTGAGACAAGTCCCAGGTTGCTGATCAGACTGATTTTCTGCCTCATTTACCCACAATTACAGGGTCTCAATTATTTCTCTTACTTTGACAACACAATACAGTATATCTTTTCTCACTTTTGATCTGATTTTGTTTTTCATTTTTGGTTATTATTATTATACTGTAATTATTATTATTATTTATTAATTAATTTATTTATTTATTTTTATTTTAGTATTTACTTATGTATTACTTTTTATATCTATTTATTTATTTAATTTTTTGCCCCCTAGGCCCTGATGTGGACTAGTCCCTGCTAGTTCAATCAAAGTACCATCCTCATATCCGAGGGTTGGCAACCACATTCCGCCACTAAATGTTTTTGTGCTGTTTTTACCAATCAAGTTTTGAATCTCTGGGAATCCAGTTTTTAATTTAATTCATCCATCCCTAATCTCTGCCTGCCCCTGGCTCTCCTACCCTCAATTTTGCCCATTAATATTTCTGTTATTATCCCCTCATCCCAAATTATATGACCAAAGTATCTATATATTTATTTATTTATTTTTTCTGTACATTTCAAGCATTTCTTTTGAAGTTTTTGCAGACCATAGTATTTCTTAGCATATTATTTCTTATTTTGTTTTCCTGTCACTGTAACTTATTTTTAACATATTCAAAAGTCTCCAACCTTTTTTTTTATGTCTGATGAAAGTGTCCATGCTTCTGATCCATATAACACTCCTTTCAGCAGCCTTTCTCTCAAATTGAAGTTAATGTATCTTTTTTCATTAGGTCTTTTACATTATTAAATGCTGTTTTTGTTTGACATATTCTTGCTATGATTTCTTCTGAACATCTACCATCACAGCTAATGTTACTTTTCAAATACAGTATACTTAATTTTCCCCTTGTTCAAATTCTCTGTTGCTTACCATAATTTCTATTTTGGATTTATTTCCAATTTGGAAACAACCATTACTTTTGTCTTTACAGTATTAACTCTTAACCCATATGCTTCACTATCAGTTCCCACTCATACTGTACTTTTACTTTTATTTTTATCCTCTTCGCCACTGATCGGCTCGTTAGCCTCTTGGACAGTCGGTCACATCTCTGTTATGCATTGTTGGCAAGTACTGGGCATGAACTGGCTCCTGAATATACAGGAACCTGCTCCAGTGTTGGTCAAGTCTGGTCTTGAAAGAGCTCACACTCGGTGCCGTCATAACATTCTCTGGCAGATTGTTCCAAGAGTCCGCAATTCTCACTCCGAAAAAGTTTGCCCTCACTGTTTTCTGGACTTGTGACTTTTTTCAACCTTGAGCTTATTTTATAGTTTAACATTACATTTTCTTTATTTCTAAACCACCTCATTTATATAGTGTTGTAAGTGTTAAAGAAGTTCGTTTTTCTGAGACGAATTTGCGAGGACAGCCTGTAGCACTGTGCATTGTAGGATTTATTGGAGGATCCTAAGAGTGAGGTTCAACTAACTGGAAAATCTCTTTATGCGGCACCTCTCAATCCCCATAGATGCCGGACAACCAGGATTTTACTGTACAATATACAGTACTTAGTTAAAAAGGGGTGCTTAGAGTTTGTTGGTATGAATATCAACTTGTCTCTTTTGTGTGTGCCAGGCAGGCATTGTAGATACTAAGCAGTGCCTCCAGTGCTTTCTAGGATAAGATTAATACTGTAACATATTTCCTATTATACTTGTAATCGCTGGAGCTCTTACTTTAAGTTTTCTCTGGTTGTAAAGAAGTTCTCTGAATATTAATGTTATGTAAGAGTAGTTATGTCAATGATGTGGTAAGGAGTATTAAGGTGTATTTTCTCTTCCATTTTTGTTTTTATATGTGTTCGGGATCTTCGTCAGGATTCTAAAAAAAAATTCCCACTCTCACCTGTTCTTACTTTTACTTTACTTTCATCTTCTAGATGCTTATACACCTGAATTAGGTCACCCCTTGCCCGTCTGTAGTATAAGCTAGGCAAGTTCAGACGCTCCAATCTCTCAGGGTAGCTGAGGTGCCGAAGTGCAGGCACCAGTCTGGTGGTCCTCCTTTGAACATTTTCAGCCAACTGACAGTCCCTAGCATATCTCGGGGACCAGGTGGGGTGACAGTACTCCAGATGGGGAAGCACTTCACTCTTGAAGATTGTTACGAGGGACAGACCGTCTAGATATCTGAACGACCTTCTTATAAGACCCAATAATTTATTTGCCTGATTTACCTTCTTATCGCAATGGCCTGAGAACTTCAGCTCATTGTCAACATACACACCTAGGTCCTTCTCACATTCAGTCTCAAATAGTGCAGTTTTTTCATCCCATTGTGACATATGATACGCCTCCTTACCGTTGGTCCGCCCCAGGTGCATCCTCTTACACTTCGTGACATTGAATCTCAGCAGCCATTTCTTCGACCATTCTTGGAGCCCATAGAGGTCCTTCTGCAGCTCTTCACAGTCCGCTTGGTTCTTGATTTCCCAAAATAACTTAGCATCATTGGCCAACATTTGTATGGAAGAGTGTACAACGTCAGGCATGTCATTTATGAAACAAACAAACAACAGCGGGCCCAATACACTGCCCTGTGGTACCCCGCTTGTGACAGGTACGGATGATGATTTCATGCCATTAATCACCACACACTGCTTGTGGTCATGTAGAAAGTCTTCTATCCACGCTAGGACATTTCCCCGAATTCCGTACCTTTCCAGTTTGATTTTCAGCCTTTCGTGGAGTACACTGTCGAAAGCCTTGGCATTGTCGATATTACCAACCCATTTCAGAATATGGGTCCAAATGTCCAATACTTTCAGCAATTGTGTTAA